TGGCGGCCATATTGGATTTCTGATCGACCCGAAAAATAACAACACTTTGTCAGGACCATGAGGCGATCATTCCTACCAACTTTCAGTTCAATCGGTCCAGCAGAACTTGACTTTAAGTTTGAAATAGGTTTTCAAAATGGCGGCCGTGGCGGCCATATTGGATTTCTGATCGACCCGAAAAATAACAACACTTTGTCAGGACCATGAGGCGATCATTCCTACCAACTTTCAGTTCAATCGGCCCAGCAGAACTTGACTTTAAGTTTGAAATGTAAAATGTTAACGGACGACGGACGACGGACGACGACGGACGAAAACGGATAGCAATAGGTCACTTGAGCTAAAGCTCAGGTGACCTAAAAAGCGCATGTACATGTTACCAAGGTGGTCGTGCAAACCAAGTTGCTACATGATCTAATAAGGGACTTGTTCTCAAATTGGAGAATGCACAATAAGGGGATCGTGTATACAATGTCTGGTCGTGATCCTTAATGGAGTTCATGAGAAGTAGCTTTAACAACAAGACATGAAAATTCCAAGATGGCAAAGGCAGTCATTTTGTTTTTATATCGAATTTGAACATGTACAACTATGGACCATGGGAATCACGTATACCAAGCTTTATAATCATTTTATTACTTTCCGAAAATAAAGGAATGTTACAAGCAATATTTTTGATAAAATTCAAGATGGCCAAGTTGCTATTTTGTTTTTTCCAAAATGTGTAAATTTCAAGCTGGCACAACTAGGTACTAATTAAACCATATATACCAAGTTTCATCATAACCCAATTAATATTTCCTGAGAAACATGTTCACAAAGGATGAGTGTCTATAAGGCCCTCTTTGGGCCCCGGTATTTTCACCTCCTTATTTTGTTCAAAGTTGTCCTATTGTATGACATGCGGAAAAACTAAGGTAAAACTTAGACTGAAAGTGGGTTTCTGGGGGTACCAAAAGGGGTAGGGTTAATCACAAATACAGTTTGCTGTTTTCAAAATGAGCTCGGGTTGGAGATTTCTCTGTCACACCCTCAAGGTAGGGGAAGATTCTATTAGTCTCCCCCTTGGGTTGAGACGGGGGATTGACCCCCGGATTCCCCTATTCATAACAATGGTATGACGTCATGTCATCAATACAATGACTTCAGGTCAACAGCCCATCAATATCACCTGAATTTAGCCTGTAACGTTATCATTACATTGTGTATATGATACACAATGGGAGAACAGGGTAAGAGAAAAAGATTCATTCACCACCTTGTGGGTGAGAGATTCTATTAGTCTCTCTACATGTGTTTTCAAAGAAGAATATCAGAAGTATGTCTTAATGTCAAATAAAAGGATAAAGCCACCAGTATCTTATCCCCTTTCTTTAGTAACCCTTGTAAAACATACCATCAACCAGGGGGGCCTGATAATTTGTTACAGCTATATTTTAACCTAAACTGGGGTGTTCAGAGTAATTGAACCCCCAATGATCACATTTTACTGAAAATTGATCTAAACCCCTAAAATGTGTAATATTATTCTGAACACTCCAGTTTAGGTCCAAATATAGCTGTAACAAATTATCACGTCCCTCTGCCTTCAACAGATAGCTAGGAAGTCATTCAACTCACATTGCTATGTTCCTCTTGGATTTATCATTCAAACTAAAAGCAGAGGTGCAAACTTATTAAGTATTTTTAATGTTGCAAAACGAAGACAGATCAAAAATAAGTTTACAACATTAGTTTCTTTAAGTATAATCAATAGAGTACTAATTATAAGTTATGGACAAATTTATTTTCTTTACCTGATACAATGATTAGACCATTTCTCTTGATAAAGCTACTGAGGTATAAAATTGCATGTCAAATTTAATGCACAACAGGAATGCAGCAGAACACACTAGCTGCATCAATGATACATGTACCATCAGTCTGCTTCAAAATGGGGAAAAAGTTCAATCAGACAATAATTTAAAAGTACACTGTAATCAAATGATTGTATTGATCTATGTTATGGCCGACGTCATCAATGGACAACTTTGACCAGGGATGTGGGGTTCACCAGGGATGGGGGTTCACCAGGGGTGGTGGCTCACCAGGTAATGGGTTCATGCAGAATAGGTTCATCAGGAATGGGTTCACCAGGAATAGGGGTTCACCAGGGATGGGGGTTCACCAGGGATGGGTTCACCTGGAATGGGGGTTCACCAGGGATGATGGTTCACCAGGTAATGGGTTCACCAGGATGGGGGTTCACCAGGGATGGGGGTTCACCAGGGATGATGGTTCACCAGGTAATGGATTCACCAGGAATGGGGGTTCACCAGGAATGGGGGTTCACCAGGGATGGGAGTTCACCAGGAATGGGTTCACCTGGAATGGGGGTTCACCAGGGATGGGGGTTCACCAGGGATGATGGTTCACCAGGTAATGGGTTCACCAGGAATGGGGGTTCACCAGGGTTGGGGGTTCATTAGGGATGTGGTTTCACTGGTAAGGCTCTTACCTATGGCAGCGATGTTTGGAATCAATGGTAGGGCAGGGTATCCAATCAACAGTAAAGCCCCGCCTTCTTTTCCATATTTAGTACCCAGGTGTGTCACAGGAGGGTACAGGTGGTCAAGACCTGAATCTGTATTTTGCTGTTTTAGTCAATTTCATTGAAGTAGAACGACCACAGAGTCTGATGTCACATGACTGCTGATTCTGATGTCGAAGGTAGTGAAGCAACATGACCGTGGGGTCTGATGTCTCTGGGGGTAGAGTGGGTCTGGTGTCTCAGAGGGTAAAGTGGGTCTGGTGTCTCAGAGGGTAAAGAAGCATGACTATGGGGTCTGGTGTCTCCGAGGGTAAAGTAACATGACTATGGGGTCTGTTGTCTCAGAGGGTTAATTAACATGACCTTGGGGTCTGATGTCTCAGAGGGTAAAGTAACATGACTATGGGGTCTGATGTCTCCGAGGGTAAAGTAACATGACTATGGGGTCTGGTGTCTCCGAGGGTAAAGAAGCATGACTATGGGGTCTGGTGTCTCCGAGAGTAAAGTAACATGACCTTGGGGTTTGATGTCTCAGAGGGTAAAGTAACATGACTATGGGGTCTGATGTCTCAGAGAGTAAAGTGACATGACTGTGAGGTCTGGTGTCGGAAGGAGTAAAAAAACAAGACTTGTGTGTCTTTGATGTGGTCAGCAGCGACATAGTCAAACTTAAGGAAATTACAGTTCAAATATATCGTTTTTCAATAAAAAATTCTGATGAGTTCACGATTTTTTTCTCATTTGGATTTTTTTGTTTCAGCATCAATTTTTCTGTAAGTTAAAGCCATAAAAAACTTGTTGACGTAATGTATTTGTAAAACGTCCCCTACTTTTGATAAAAAATGCCCAGACACTTTCGTAAAAACTGGATGTAAACTTGAAAGATGTAGATCTAGTAATTTTAAGACAACAAACCCTGTACAACTAAGCAATGCACACAAAAATGGTTTATGTGCCTCTGTGGTCGAATATTTTCGATAGGACAGAGCAGCTCCAGTGATCGCTAACACAATGTGTAGACCAAGTGCAATTTCAAACCCAATCTTGTAATACAGAGTCAGAGTATAGCTAGACACTGACAAAGCTGTGGCAACGTAGACTCGTAAATTACTCCAGCCATTGGAAAGATATCGTCCCCATATATACACCCACATGAAAAACGGCAGTGTTACCCACTGATCCAAAATCGCATAGCGATGTTGCTCCGTAACAATCCGTATCATTTGGATCGGACCATAAATACAGGCCATGAAATTGAACACGTAGAATGTATAGGCATCAGTTTCAGTAATCTGTTCTCTGTCATGATGGTTAAATACGACTGCTAACCAGTACGCTCCCACTATGATATATCCAAAGTTCACCAGTGTATTCAGTGGCATTTTAAGCCATTTCGGTAGCACCATCTTCAAAATGGGACTTGCTCTCTCAGCATAGTGTTTCAGCCCTGTCTCTGTGAATGCACGATCAAATCCTCCGTTAAAAACAAGAAAACAAATAATGGCTGTTGCCATGGTTACCGTCATGAAAGCTCGAAGGAATACAGGAGCCATATTTTTCGTTTTCGTGATTCACTCTCCTGGTTATGTGTCACATGAAATTTTGTGCTGAAGCTGATCTGAAAAAGCAGATGGAGAAAATAGTCAAAAGCTGTGCAGGGGTACTGCATAATTGTATCTTCATGGTGAATGTCATCTTCGCTAGCCAAGGGTTCGCTTCGTATACACTCCACTTACGAAGCGAACCCTTGGCTAGCGAAGATGGGTAAATGTATCCAGAAGCATAACGTTAGATGAAATGAACAAAAACAGCCAAAACATCCAGTAAGTGAAATAAGAGGTTATGTAGTTTTTATAAATATACGTATATCTTTATGTTTCAATACCTTAAGCTATATCATTGGTTCCTGAAGTGAAGCAATATCAGCTGATATCACTTGGGTTATGATAAGTTATGTTCCTCATCTGTAGATTATCTTGGGTCTAGTCAATTTTCCAACCATCAATTTTTTTAAGTTGCATTGCTCATTATATATATACATTTTATTTGATGTCGCCCCTTGTTTTTTGAATGGTATAATCTGATAGCTCAAGTCTCAAAGCTTGTTTTCCGTTGAAAACTCTGTGAAGTGATGTTTCACTAACAATGTAATATCAAAAGTAACAGAGGTGATTAAATTGCAATGCCCCTTCTAGGGACCTCTGCTGAAGCTTTCTACTGCTTGAGCTAAAGACAAATTCCCTCTAGCAGAGTCCTTTGTTTGGAACAACTGACCATCTCTTTTCATTTTTTTTTGAAGCGGAGGTATCTGCACCCCTGCCAATTTTTTGTCTTAAAGGAGTCACTTATTTCAGACAATTAGGATCGAAACAGCTAGTGTTTGACCAGGGTGAGATATACTTCCCTTTGTGAAAGCAAGCCAGTGTATTTCTTACATTTCCCAAGTCATTAGATGGGGACCAATGTAGCATATGTCTTATTTGTCAATGCCTCGGATAAGGATTGAACTTGGAACTCTGAATGCATTGGTCGGAAGTACTGAGCTAAAGCCAATTCTCCTTTAACCAAGGTGACATCAACACTTGTCATTTGTGTATTAACAAGACTGAAACAGTTGTTTTAGTGATATGATATTCTAGGTATCATATTTTATTCTTTAATATCATATGGCTATATGATAGTGTAATCAACGTCAATTATAATCTATATCTACAGGGGAAAATGCTGAAATTTGAGAGCAGTGGGTCTTTTCACACATTTTTCAGTCAATATCAAAATAAGATGGGCAATTCTATGTAAAGTTAAAAAAAAATTGGAACATAATTTGTGAACCACTTTGAGACGACCTATATAAATAAGAACCCCAAATTATTATTATTATTATTATTATTATTTTTATAACATGAAGGGGTCAATTTCAGTTTGATGGGGTAAATGGCCCCATGGTGCCTAGTCCGCTAAAACTGACCATAATCACAGGCTTCATAATCCTGATCGGTCGCCTGTTTATAGACCATTAACAGGCCACCGATCAGAATTTTGAAGCCTGCTATTAGGCCAGTTATTGAGTTAAGGTCATAGGAGTGTATTGCTAAAAGGAAATAGGAAGTACATCCCTAGTTTAAAATCCAATGTAGGGAGATCACAATTTCCACATATTCTAATGTTTAATATTAAACGGATGAATATTGTATGTTTATTATTGAAAGAACAGTGTGTTCTTTCAATATTAAAGTATTTCAAAGCAATCCAGGCATTAATTCAGTTGTTTTTTAATCAATGGGTCACATGTGTCCATTTTTCTGTACTTCAGGAAACCGGCTACCTATTTCATTACTGTGAAGATTTTCAAGAACGATAACTCTTACATGCAATTACTATGTGTATATGGTTTTATTATAAAATGTCAATTTTTAATCGTTTATAGATAATTAATTTTACACAATTACAGCATTTATGAAATTGATATACATTAATGCAATACTAATCTATGTCAGTATCATTTTTATTGACATTATTTTGCAAAAGATTGTGTGTTTCATTTTTTTTTCAAAATTCACTCCTTTTTACATAAATTTCCATTTAAAATCCTTAAAATTCTGACAACCTATATTTTCTTTGTGGCAGAATTTTTTCCTTACATCAAAGCAATATAACTACAAAATTTGAAGAAATTCTACTGAGAAATGGCAACATAATCCTATTACCTTAAAGCAGACTACATGACTCCCTTCAGGATTATCCCTGTTATCTAACGTGAGTGCAGGCAAATTCGCCATGCACACAAATTCGCCACTCAGAGTGTGACGAAAATGTCATATGACGTCATAATAGTCATAAGATGTGACGTAAATAACGTCACCATAGTTTTCAACACAGTTAAAGCCTTCAAACATTTTGACAAGAAGAGGTATAAGAAGGGAAGTGTTATATTATTAATTAAAACAGTTATGAAATATCTTGTAACACAACGAATCTTAAAATATTTGTCTGTGCGACGGACATCTCGTCAACTAAACTCATTAATCTGAGGCCTATTGGTTGTGATTAAGTGTAAATGCATAACATTAACATAGAAAATACCTATATCTCAACGGTAATTGCAGTTTTATGGTCGACTGAGCCGGAAAGATTTGTGTATACTATAGTTTAGAAAAGAAATCAACCAGTATCTTTTAAAAAGTATTGTTCGCTTCTAACATCCAGCCAACTTACGACACTTTAATTAAAACACCATCTAGAAATGTTCTAGATTTATATTTGAAAAGAATTTGTTGTCGGCCTGAAAGCATTGTTGTACAATCCCATCATGGCTGTATGTATAGACCGACAGTTACAAAAGACTGATTTGTACATGAAAAATTAGTACTTTAACAACACCTAGCTGGGACAGTGTTGAATACGATTTCAAGCCCAAATATTGTTTTAATTTTCAGATATTTTCTGTCGACGTGCAAGACAATCGGGGATGTACATGTGACAAATGATCTAAAAGTCTGAGGGGGGGTGGGGGACGCGTTCAAAGCCCTGACCCTCTCATCCGGACCCGATAAAAAACATAATTTTGGGCACCAATTTGGAAGTTTTTATCTGATCAAGACTGGGTCTTTATTGCGATGCTTGTGAATTGACCCCATCTAGGCCAATCCCTAGACACCTACATTATTTGCAAATTAGTGAAATGTTTGATGGTGGCGAAACTGCCTGCATCTTTGAGCAAAACGAAACCGGAAATGGAGTGGACAGAATTAAGAAGCACCTCAAGAAGCGACTGACGCTTACAACGGTGTCACAATCAATGAACCAATGAACCAAAACCACGGAAGGTCTGATGACGTCACAAATGTTGCTGTGTGATGTCATTCATGCGTGTTTACAACAATGTTTATGTATCTAGGCATTTCGGTCAAATCTACTTCTGTACTGGTGCTCGTCGGCATTTTGATACATGTGTTTTTGGACAAATTATTAACTGAAACCCTTACTAATAAACTGGCATAATCTTCGACACGTCGAAGGTGGCCGAAAATTGGAAGAAGAAGAATATGACTGCATTTAGTCCTACGTTAGATATCTTTTATGGCATTTACATTTACATTTACGGCGATACTGCAAAGGGCCGTCGAACAGCATCAACTTGCAGGTAGACTGAGGAGTCTGAGGCTGTGGCAATTGGTAACTTGACCAAGGGGTTGATTTTCGCTGTTTATATTAAAAAGAACTGTTATATGTGAAAATACATTATCGCACAGTTGTTTGTTATACACACGTTTACCTTAACGCCGTGGAGGTGAAGAAAACGTTAGGTCTACTTTCCTTTTTGATGCTTTTCGGAATATTTTTGATTCGTCGAGTGGTAAAATCTAAAAGTCCGAGTTATTCCGAACGACTACTAAAAAAATGCTTTAACATTTTCTATGTTATAAAATTAAACAAAGTAGACATTTTTACCGCTAATTCTTCGAAATACCTATATCAGCAAGACAAAAATTGATAATTATGAAAAATAATTCTAAAAATTATAGATCATGTGATATGTAAATGATTGTTTTGATGAGCAGGTTCGTGCGCGGATGATATGCGCATACCACCAGCATTGTGGGTAAAACAAATATGGCGGCACCCATCTTGAAATGGAAGCGCCTTACCAACGTTTCTGGACCGTGCCCACGACCTCGGCACGGACATCGGGCTGTTGCAATCAAGGAATTAATGGTAGTTTTCGGTGGTGGAAATGAAGGAATCGTTGACGAACTACACGTTTATAACACAGGTGGGTTTGTTATTATTCTCTAGGATGGCCGCCATTACTGATTGAAATGTCAAACATTGGCGCCACCTTTATTTTCTTTATATGACAGTCAAATAAATCGTAGCATCATTGGAAAATTCAACAAAGTGTCACAAAATGATTTAAAGAATAATTGTTCACATAACAACAATCGTAGAACCTTTTTATTACTGAATTTTGTGTTTGTTTTGCTAGTTCCGAAGGATCCAATATGGCGGCGCCCTACTGTCACAAACGATGTAAATAATGATTGGTGTGGCGCTTGAGATCGAGAACATGTTTGAATTGAATGTTACAGCATGTACATTGTATTCTAAAGTTTAATTTAATGGTGCTGAATTTGATAAATACATTTTAACTTAAGCTTTAGCTGTTCGCCGATTTTAGACGCTACAGAAGCCAAGATGGCGACCGGTTCTCGGCGGACATTACAGACAACTGAGACACGAGATTTACAAATTTGTCAAATTATTCCATAACTTTTATCATCATGCATTATTTTTATTGTAACTTAACAAATAATTGGTGATTTGACTTTTAGTCAAACGTTACAAAAATGTTGTGAAAATACATTAAAATATAAATTATGCAAATTTACTAGAGTTAAGGCGCCACCGCAACGCTGGGCTAGGAACGATAACCCTGTTTCGGTAGGGTCTATACAGATAACCATTAAATGGCATAATGAAGGAATTTAATTTTTGTTGTCTTTTTCTTCACTTAAGAATGGATAAATAATAATGAATGATGAATGAATCAATATGATTAAAGCATTATGCATCAATGTGTTTTTTTTAAATGTATATAATTTCTTAAATTCAGCCACCAACCAATGGTTTGTGCCTGCAGTACGGGGTGACATCCCACCTGGATGTGCTGCCTATGGCTTCATATGCGATGGTACCAGAATTCTAGTGTTTGGTGGAATGGTCGAGTATGGAAAATACTCCAATGAACTTTATGAACTCCAGGCCAGTCGTTGGGAATGGAAAAGACTAAAACCAAAACCTCCAAAAAGTGGCGCTCCTCCCTGTCCGAGATTGGGTACAATATTGGTTTATTTTAAAAAAGAATCTAACGCAGCATTAATGAGTACCTGTTTATATGTTTTAAGTTCTTTTGAATAATAAGAGGATTCTTGTTTCAATTTAAAAAATGATGAATCAAGGTACATATAAAGTATTAATAATTTTATATTTTACAAACATTCTAATAATAAATCTCTTCTATATTTCTTCTCAACATTTTCAATTATTTTCCATATTTCTTCCCCAGGACATTGCTTTACACTACTAGGAAACAGTGGTTACCTGTTTGGAGGTTTGGCCAATGACAGCGAAGATCCTAAGAACAATATACCTAGGTGAGATGAAGTTGTAAGAATACATTAAGAAAGACTTATGCCAAAATTTACACTTTCTGAGTTAATATTAAGCTAAAAGATACTAAGAATGTTTCAACAAGTCCTTCATTGAGGCTGGTCAAATAATAATACAATTCATGTAGGAAAAAAGTATTATCATGATTTGTCTGTCTGTTGCAGATATCTTAATGATCTGTATGTGTTGGAGCTAAAACCTAACTCATATGCACTGTCCTGGGACCTACCAGTGACAATTGGCCAGCCCCCACCTCCTAGGGAGTCTCACACCTGTGTGGGGTATGCAGAGAAGGACGGCAAACGGCCACGCCTTATCATCTATGGTGGCATGAGTGGTTGTCGCCTTGGAGACCTGTGGCAGCTTGATATCGGTATGAATAACAAAAACAGTTGGTAGCGTGGTTTTTTAAACTAATAAACTCTACTTATTACAAACTGGTGTTATTGCTGCAGAAATGTCTAGATAGAAAAACAATAATTTGGCCTTAAATATAAAAAAAAATCAACCTTTAATATTTGTTGTATATATTTCAGACACTTACACATGGACGAAGCCGGTAGTACAAGGAATCGCTCCTCTCCCCAGGAGTTTACACTCCTCCACTGTCATAGGAAACCGAATGTTCGTGTTCGGCGGATGGGTACCTTTGGTGATGGATGATGTCAAAGTCGCCACACACGAAAAGGAGTGGAAGTGTACCAACACGCTAGCCTCACTCAATCTAGGTAAAGGTTCGACAGGAAAAGCAACAGACTGGTCTTGGTTACTTTGGATAAAAATAATTGTTGTGATAGCAACAAGATGGTCTCGCTCAGTCTAGGTTGGATTTACTTGATCGCGGTAACCCTAGTCTCACTCAGGTTTGTCATTACTCTAAAGGAAACAAGGTTAATCTAGTAGTAGTAGTAGTAGTAGTAGTACAGTCAAGTTTTAAAAAAACTTATTCGACCAGAACATCTGAACTTTCCCCCAAAAAATGTTGGTTTCAGATGGATGGAAGGATTTGCTGAGATTTTTTTCTCAATTCCTAGACTTTTATTTGTAAAAAGTTGCCTGCAGTTACTGTAGGTAGATGTTGAACACTAAGCCAACGTATGTAATTTTAACATCTATTGGGATTTGAAGTTTGAATTGTTTATTTCTTTGCCTAGATTCAATGATGTGGGAGCCCCTTGCCATGGAGGTGTTTGAAGATGCTCTGCCACGTGCCCGAGCAGGCCACTGTTCAGTGTCTATCCACTCGCGTCTCTACATCTGGAGTGGGCGGGATGGCTACAGGAAGGCTTGGAACAATCAAGTGAGGACCTCACGATGATGTCTTATTTCAAGCGCTCCAAATTCTGGAAATAATGATGTTCTGCAAAGAACCAAAACTCTAAATATGATAATATTTAAATAATAAGGCATAGTAAAGAATTACAAACCTAAAGTGAAACATTTTTTTCTCCAGTCCTGGGTATGAAGTGTGTTCCTGAATAAAAGATGAAGGACTTCCCTCAGTATGTCTGCTACTGAATATTAATATTGATGTAAAAGAGGTTTCAAGAAAGTTTCTTTAAAGCTCCAATCAAACATGAAGAACGTTTGAAATCCTACATTCTTAAATCAAAAGAAGACATGAAAATATAAACGAGGAAAGTAGATTTAGCTGCTTTACTACACCATCAGTTTATCCCAAATGTAGAAGGTGTCAATTCCCAAACACACAAGAAACCATTGAAAGAAAATATGTTATCCAAAAAAGCTAGATTATTAAAACAAATATTATTACCAAATAATTTCTGGAGTATATCATATTTGGTGTACATGCTGTTTTATGAAGAATTGACCTAGTTTGTATATCTGAATTGACCTAGTTTGTAAATCTGAATTGACCTAGTTTGTATATCTGAATTGACCTAATTTGTATATCTGAATTGACCTAATTTGTATATCTTGTTCTATTTTAGGTTTGTTTCAAGGATCTCTGGTTTCTTGAGACGGGTATGTATCTCGCCTTAAGTTAAACTAAAGTCAATAATTTTAAGAATTAAAAGTTTGGTGATGCAGTCACAACTTCATATTGCCTCATAATTGACTCAAAAACCTATATCTGTTTCATAATGGAGTTCAACAATCGAAATTCTAAATTAAATTGCCTTGTAATGGAGTTGACAATAGTTATATTGAACTATTTTATAATGTAATCAAAACACAGTATCTTACATTGTCTTTTAATGAAATTGACAATCATTATTTTGCCTTCACAGAGAAACCTCCAGCACCGTCGCGCGTACAGTTAGTGCGTGCCAGTACTAATACACTGGAGGTGTGTTGGGGTGGAGTCCCCACGGCTGATGCCTATCTCCTACAGCTTCAGAAGTACGACTTGCCCCCTGCTCAGGCCATGACCCCTACTGCTGTTCCCCAGACCAACCCCCTAGTCAAGGCCATTGCCTCGCCCACCACCCCAAACATCATTAGGACACCCACACATGGTAAGGGAGGTCACTATATAACCAATCTAAGATTTCTAGCTAGTAGGAACCTTAATCGTCAACTTTTGTCCGGAGGTGGCATAAGATGGATTGGACTATGGTCACAGACTGGAACCTGACTATTACCAAAAATCACACTTACTGGATTAAAAAATTGAGATAATCTCTGCTCTGGAAAGTCAGTGGACAGTTAAACATTTTTTGCGCTATGATACAGTAAAATACAAGGGAGGTAAAGCAACAAAGAGATTTTCCTTGTCCAGATATGAGTGGGGGGAGGGGGGATGTGGGTAGAACATTTCTCTTTCCAAATCCTACCTTCAACAATTGATAAATTGTGTCTCTATTGTGTAAACATTGGTGCTATAGATCTACCACTAATTATGCTCACTGACATTTGTTGAAGCGCAGCTCTACATTTCTCTCTGAGTTGTTCTATGGATGATGTTTTCTGTGCTTTTCTATACTAGGAATAACCCAGATCCGTTCTGTTGCGGGGGCTTCAGCCCTGGGTTCTGTGGCAATCAACTCCCCGCAGACAATCCGAGGTAGACCCTACTCCTCATTTGCATGCCTACAACGCATATTTAGTTGGGTGTATGGATGTGAAATCCCGTTTTATTTTATTTTCTTCTCAGAGCATCAGTATTGTATCCATCATGTGATAGCTTATTTCTTCCAAAATATTTTCATGTTTGCTGGGGAAATGTTTTGCCTATGCATTTCCTGTTTGAAGCTGCTGGTGTAAGTTTTTGCAGTCATTGTATATTTTTATTTGAATGTCGTGTCTAGATTTAAATTGAATAATCAATCCATTATAATAATAATCAAAATAAAACAATTCTGCTGTCTAATGCCTTTGTGAACATAGATGCCTGCTTCATTAAAACCCCTGTTGAAGCAGCATTTGTTAGTATTAATGTATGTGACATTATCCTTTTGCTTTCATTTTACTATTATTTTTTATGTGAATGTCTTGTTTATTTTAAGCGGCTGGTAGACTAACCCCATTTCGTGTTGTGATGCTGTTTTGGAATGCCTTTGTCTTTTATTTACAGCTGTGTGTTTATGCTGAGACTGTTTCCCCTTGGTATCAGTTTATCCCCATGAATGCTTATAGTGTTCTTCTTGCATACAACTTTTTACTGAAATTTTAGATGAATTGAAAACGAGGACACTTTAATAATAAGTTTGAAGTCATGCTGGTATTTTGTGATACAGCTGATTTGGAGCTAGAAAAAGATTTGTATTGAGTAAGACCTTGTTGTAATGGTGAAGGGTTTAATAATTTATATTCCTCAAATGTGAATAATGTTAGATTTTACAAAACAAAAAAATTTCATCGATATTGGCGAAATGTCACGGTTTAAGGAGTTTCCACCCTTCGTAATACACATGTTTTTCTTTTCTTATTTTCCTGTCGTCATTTCCGTATTGTGTATCAGGCATTCCATTACCATGGTGTAAATTATAGTAACACCGGGTAAACAATAGTACACGTGCGTGACGATGATATGTCAACACCCGATATTGAGACTTAACTTGGAAATGTGTAATCACACTACTTCAGAAATAAAGCTTATGATACAAAGACATTAATTAACTCACGGGCAAACACTGACATACGATCAGAGGACTTCAAGAATGTTGTATATGAGGCCATGGAATGCAGACTGATGTGTTTTGTTTACCGACCTCACCTGTACGTATCACGTGCTAACAGTAGTTTACAAGCTCTTGGTCGCTACGACTTTTGTTGTCGAGCGAGTTACGCTCTGTCAGATAAATCGGTTCACAAATGCAATAACAATAACTCTGTTAAAAAGTGGTTTGTAAAATATCAAGATCCCTATAAAATGCAAGTGCATGTGCGTGCACGTAATAACGGCATACCATGCGATAGCCTATGGTTACATATGTACCTGACATGTTAATATACCATGCGTAAGCAGGCTATGGAATGATGTCCAAAGTGTACATGATTGAGAGTAATTTTGTTCCATAAAAGAACAGTAAATTGACAATTAAATCTAGTAATTTAAATTACTTCCGTCGTTTTTTGGTATAGTAAAGAAAATAAGTGTCATTGTATAAATTCTATCCCTCTGCAAAAAGTTCCGTTTTTTTTCAAGGTAGACAACTCTCATCAGGATCAAAATTATTGTAAAATGTAAAATAAATTAATTATAAAGACTTTGTGTGCATTTGGTTCAATTTTTCAGTCTTTTTGTATGAAACAATGTGTCCTGTTTACTTTTAGCTTGTATTTAGTAACTGTTATTCATACAATTTCAATAAAAAACGCTTTTTGTAACATGTTGTAGATATTTTATAATAAATAAAATATTTGTAGGGTTGATTAGCAATGTTTCTTTTCATTATTTTATTGTTGTTATAGTTTTGAACAATGCCACACGCTCAAAAAATGTAAAAGTGTTGAATTTGACAAAAATTCAATATTTCGGTATTTTTTACAAAAAAATCCCCAGGTTATCGGAATGCTTAGATTTTCATAAAATCATCTCTGCATAGTGACATAACCATTATGTGAAACTTTCATTGAATTCTTCTGGCTAATTGCGAAAAGGTGGAGCCTCCTTAAAAAGTTAATCTTTTAAACATTATAAGATCACTGAAAATTAACATTATAAAACATGTTTTAAATTGCAAATCTAAGATAAGCATTGTTATTGATTGTATAGTGTGACTTTGTACTCGGTATTGGTTGTTGGGCTATTAACAGAAGGCTTTGTGTTTTGTCTTAAGTGTAGTATAGCTGACAGCTTTCAGGGTCTCACAGTTAGTGGACAAAGGCTTACTTTATGATGGCTGTCTTAAGAAAATTATTTCTTGTATGTAAATAATTTGATGTGTATGTAGTCAACGTTATTATTGACTTTTATTGTTGTTTACTGTACATGAATTTAGATGGTGTTATTTCATGATACTCATCTTCATGGTAGGACAAATTTAATACAACAGTCATCCAGGGGGTTACACTCACTTCTGCTCTCTGCACCCCAGGAATATGTTGTAGCAAAATTGAAGGCACACGGCTAGTTAGTTGATTGGTCTTGGGTAAAACAAAATCTGACCAATCATTAGGCTGATGCCTGGTCTCGGGTAAAACAAAATCTGACCAATCATTAGGCTGATGCCTGGTCTCGGGTAAAACAAAATCTGACCAATCATTAGGCTGATGCCTGCCCTTTTAAGATTAAAGAGGAGCAACATCCAACTTTTAAGCCAGTCATTTTACCGTTATGCAATAACAAGATTCTTTTGATGTACATCAAAGGATTAAACTAGTCTTTTTGTCTCATCTACAATATGGCACACACTAGGCCTTCAATTTTGCTATGACATATTCCTGGGGTGCAGAGAGCGGAATTGAGTGGAACTCCTTGAGGATTGAGGATGTACAGCAGTAGGTATAGAATGTACCTAACAATCTCGGAACTACAACTCAGCAATACACTTATCCGTATTTTTGCACATTAATGGAAGAATAGCACTCTGGGAAATCAAAGCTGTATCTTATATAGAATATCTACTTACGATTAAGATTTTAGAAAATGACAGGAAAAAACTATTGATAGGTAGTTAGTCAAGAATAAATTAACAATAGGCTAATTATTACTTTATCTCAAACCTAAGTGCAAATCAATATTAATATATGCTGCTGTTTATCCTTATACAGATCTGTCCACTGGTCAGTAAAGTGAGGACTGGTGTATATATAAATATACAATATATTGAAATTTAACAAATGGCATTTTTGTTAATGAATTGTTAAGAAGTCATTTAATTGTTAACGTTTTACTCACAGTTACTGCTGTTGCGGCTCGCCAGAAGACGCCTATAACCATGACGCCAACAAGTAACATCCGCGTTGCCACCCCACAAGTTGTGAACGTCACTCAGGCTGGCCAGAGAGTTCCAACTATTGTATCATCGGTAACTAGACTCGACATACAAATAACTGTACCTGAAATAAAATCAGTCACTTCTATGATAAATAAATATAGATTGGTTTTAGAATGCTTTAAAGAAAGTTTGAATTTAAGTTGAAAATATTTGAGATTTCTGGTCTTTTTCTCAGATAAAGGTAAAATCATTTGAAGTGGTGGTTCTTCTGATAACATTTTGCTGGAGTATGTATTAAGAGGGTATTCACCTGTTAAAGAGATTGTTTGATATCTTCAGGGTGGTGGTCAGATGACTGGTATCGCGGCTCTGGCTGCTGCGGCGGCTGCCACACAGAAGATTCCTGGTACATCTAGTACCACAACAACACCGGTGTCTGGCATCAAGGTTGTCACACCAACGATTGTGACACCTCAGGGTGTCAAAGTCACACCAGTTCCTGGAAAACTAGGTATTTTGTTGTACTGATATCCTGTCGTACATTTACTGTCGGTGTAATATTCATCCAACTGTTTAAACATTTATGAAGTTCTCGCACAATAATGTTATTAAAATAAAGGAACACTAACAATGATCATTATTATATCTCTGATCATTGGTTTGGTGTAGTATGACACTGATTTGTTGTAAATACAGCGTTCTTTTCTGCTTTTTCTTCAAATTTTGATGAACTTGTCTCATTCCTAGGTACACAGACAGTACGTGTGGCCACCCCTGGGTCTACCATCCTCAAGACTCCCGGCAGCATCCAGCAGACTATTGGCGGCAAACAAATCATCACTGTACACAAGGCAGGGGGCGGCTCAAGTACCGGTCAACCCCAGATTGTCACCCTTGTCAAGACAAACCAGGGCATGCAAGTTGCTACAGTACGTATACGACCTCAAAGGTCATTCCATCGAGCTCTACCATAAATCTAGATACTTGGGCATACAGAATAAGGTAGTTTGAACTTGCTGTGTCTTTAACTGATTGCTTTTTAGTTCTGACAGGTTTTATTTTGATGTTTTTTCGATTCTGACAGATCAAAATTTTGATTTAATGTCTCAATATCGATTCTAACTCTTATTCTATTTACAGAGTTAAGGGCCAGACACTTTCTTAACTTGTTTACTTCTAGTATGACAAACAGGGCATAAAATATCCGAATTTGTTTTCTATTGTCATATGGAAATAAATCATGGGCATAACATGAAAGAATAGGAAAACAATTTACACATCGAGTATGGTGTACAGGACATTTCGGTGTGTCTAATTTTAGCACTGTGATCCAACTGCTTTCAAACACAAAAATATGACAACATTAAAAATAAACCAATTACGATATTAAGCATTTGGAGATGAAATAAATTTCTTACTGAAAACAATTTTGTTTTCAATACTGCAAATCACTTAGACTAAAATATAGATATTTTTGTGTTGATTCGAGAAAGATATTCGTGAATTCTGGTGTGTCATAGAGTTTTTTTCAAACACTTAAACAGATGACATTTATCTGTTGTTGTCCCCTTTACCAATGCAGAACATTGCTATTAAATCTGTTGAAGGGTTATAGCTGTACTGTTTATCATTGTTATCACAGGAACCAATGTTCCATAGTACTTTTTGAAAGATGAAACTCTGTGCAACATAACACAACTTGCATGTTTAGTGAGACTAAGTGGTTGATCTGGGAACATGGTGTCTATATCTCACTGTTTTCTTGTTCTGATGTTTTAGACAAAAGGACCCCTTCCACAAGGTGCCACAATTGTGAAGCTGGTGACGACCCAGGGGAGTGGTACTGGTAAACCTACTGCTATCCTCACGACTAGCCAAGCCGGCCAGACACCGTCCACGATACTGGGCATCAGTAGCGTGCAGCCCCAGGGCACTGCCACACGGGTAACTCAACGTTTTTGTCTGGTTCGAAATTTAGGGAGAAAAAAATTCAAATACTTGCCAACTCTCCCTATTTTGGAGGGAGACTCCAGATTTTGGACCCTAACATTGAGCATTTTCAACCAGTGAATTTGCTAAACTATTTCTATGATTTGATGATTTCATCTGAATGAACTGCTCAAAAGATGCCATTTAAAAGTGGTGTTTACCCCTAGTGGGTACATACACACATTTTATTGAAGTTTTTAATCTCCCCCATGGAAATTTTTAAAAAGTTTGCAATTGTATGCTGTCAGAACTTAATTTAAATACAGAAATAAAATGCCATGGTGCATATCTGATTGATGCTGGATGTTGTATATAAGAAAACATTACAATCGATTATGAAATCACAATTCTTACTTTATTACTGATGACAATTTCTGACAGATTAAACACAAATCTCATAAACATCACAATGAACCCTCAATCTTCAACTTCTAAATTAAGGGTTTGATGTCAAGTTTCTGGAAGTTTTTGAGAAACCAAATTAAGTTGGAATAGACTGTAAATATACAACTGTTGGGACTGTAAAAAAACACAATTTTGACAGAGATGAGAGAAAAATAATCTTCAAGTCATATCCATGCTGGACTATAAAAATGCTATGAAGTAGAAATGTGGAAAATCTGTGGGAAATCAAGATGAAAAACCTGTAAAGCTTCTGTGAGATTTGTGATTCATGCTTGAATGTATCTTTTGATAGTTCATATCTCAAAAGCATGGGTTGAAGTTTATGGATATTTAATTTCATTGCTGAAAACGAGTCTGGTAAGACATGGTTTCAACCTTTTGCTTAAAAATTATCTTTTTCAAACTTGGTTAAACGTTAACTATCTATAATTTTTTTGTAGAAGATCAGAATGATGAAATTTTGTGAAGAGATAGGGATTGAATACAGATCTATTATTTTAGAATTTTCATACATTTTCAGACGGGAGTTACAAAAACCATCATCAAGACCATCCCATCCTCCATGCTATCGATGGCACGCTCTGGTTCGGCTACGATTACGACACAGGCTGGTCAAAAAACAATTGTCATTGCAGCTCCCAAGGGATCCACTGGTGGGCTTCATCACTCAACCCCTACAAAAATAATAACATCGGTGCCAAAGATGGGTGGGGGGACAGGCAATACACAGTTCATTGTGGTCAGCCCTCAGACCAGTGTGGGTCAAGGAATGACGACTCTCACAGCAGGTAATTTCGGCAATATATTTTATTTAAGTTCCTCCTATTATTGGAGATGCGTTGACAAAGTGATTTAGTCAAAACTATGTTTCATCCCTTCCTTTGAAAAAGTGTTTTAGTCAAAACTATGTTTCATCACTTCCTTTGACCAAGTGTTAGTCACAACTATGTTTCATCAATTCCTTTGACCAAGTGTAAGTCACAACTATGTTTCATCACTTCCTTTGACCAAGTGTTAGTCACAACTATGTTTCATCACTTCCTTTGACCAAGTGTTTTAGTCAAAATTATGTTTCATCACTTCCTTTGACCAAGTGTTAGTCACAACTATGTTTCATCACTTCCATTGACCAAGTGTTAGTCACAACTTTGTTTCATCACTTCCTTTCACCAAGTGTAAGTCACAACTATGTTTCATCACTTCCTTTGACCAAGTGTAAGTCACAACTATGTTTCATCACTTCCTTTGACCACGTGTAAGTCACAACTATGTTTCATCACTTCCTTTGACCAAGATTTAGTCACAACTATGTTTCATCACTTCCTTTGACCAAGTGTTAGTCACAACTATGTTTCATCACTTCCTTTCACCAAGTGTAAGTCACAACTATGTTTCATCACTTCCTTTCACCAAGTGTTAGTCACAACTATGTTTCATCACTTCCTTTGACCAAGTGTAAGTCACAACTATGATTCATCACCAAAGGAAGGCTTAACAACTGAAGAAGTAAGCACTCTAACCAGTGATGGTCGTGTAATGTCCACTCAACAGAACTTTATTGATAAACCCATTCACCCCTAAAGTCACATTTGAACCTTACCAAATCAAAGACTGGGCAAGTCCAGTTTAGATATGTAGGGGTGAATGAGTTTAAATGTACAAATACTTCTAATGTTAACGGACACATATTTACCATATTTTCCCCCTACTGTAGGGTTGTTGTGGTTTGTATTACAGGAGGTAAGCCACTGACAGTGACAACCCTGCCAGCATCCTCGGCTGCTGCTCTCAACATCGCTGGTACATCTCAGGTTGTCTCTGCTACCATGTCTCCCATTGCAGCCAAACCCATGGTCAACATCGTCTCCTCAAATGGTACGTGATATAAAGGCCTGTTATTATTGTGTTTCCTTCAAATGAAAGGTAGTTGAGTTGGATGGTTTTTTCTTGCTCTTCAAATGAAATTGAATTATATTTTCTATGCTGTTAACTGTCAAAATTAGTTAACCATGACCTTCATCTCAAACTCAAAGGTCAATTTAGTGCAGAACTTTTAAGTGAAATCTTGTCCGACCAGGACATTTAAAAGTATCGAAATTATCTTGATGGAACTTAAACTATCCCTGCATTACCCTTAAGTGTGCATTGTACTTTAGTTAGGTCACTGCTACCTTCACCCCTTTGTCAAGTTCAAAATGCAAAGCAGCTATGACTATTGGCCAATAAATGAAATATGTTTTTGTTCACAAAAACAAATCTCTAGTTTTGAAATGCTGTAGATATATGAGGATTCAAAATAAATGGTTAGTTTCTAAAGCACCGTTGTATCACCAAGTTTTATTGCTGTGTCCAAATTCTGAAATTTGTCCTGATAATGTTTTACGCTTTCCCGCAGTTACTATTAGTTAGAAAACCTCCACGCTAAAACAGCAGCTTTATTTTCAGTTCTGACAACAGGTTCAAAAAAGTTGCCATAGAATTTTTCTGCAAATAATAACCTAAGTAATCTTGTAGAGTTATTTGCTTTTATTTTGGAATTCAACTTGAGAGTTGGATATAGAGACTTTGGTGTGTATTTGTGTGAGCTATGTTACCAGAACCAAATTAATTACGTGAAAAATCAAGGATTCAATCATTTGGCCTCGTACTAGACAAACAGTGGTATCCACTGCGTATAGGGGTTCAATGTTAAAAATTGTAAAACCTAAATACATATATCAAAAGATGAATTTACAAAATTTGCAGCACACTTAACAGTCTAATATGATGTATCTGTAACAAGAGCAATTGTGACATATGAGAGTTTATTGTATCGCCTGTGTTACAGCAAGCCAGCTTGGTGGCACCGTTCTAAAGACGATCACAGCATCCCCTGCTGCCCTGGCCTCGGCCACCACAGCGGCCACCAGTCTCCTGTACACCACCACCACCCCCAGTGCCACTCCATCCACTCCTACAATCTCTCTCATCGCCCAGCCATCCATATCCCATGCACCTGTTACCATGACCACACAGGCTGTCGCAGCTAGCGCAGTGACTGGTGGTCAGAAACCAGTCCAGATAACCATCACTCCTGCAGCCCCTCAGAGCGCCACTCAATTTGCAGGAAGTCCCATAATAATCTCTCAACCTATGGCAACCAAACCTGCTGCTAGACCAGTTCAACAAGCTCCTTGTACAGATGGACATAATTGCCCTGGAGATGAAACGCCAAAAACAACAGGTGTGTGCACTGATGGACACAATTGCCCTGGAGATGAAACGCCACAAACAGGTGTGTGTACTGATGGACATAATTGCCCTGGAGATGAAACGCCACAAACAACAGGTGTGTGCACTGATGGACATAATTGCCCTGGAGATGAAACGCCACAAACAACAGGTGTTTGCACTGATGGTCATAATTGCCCGGGAGATGAACCACCACAAACAACAGGTGTATGCACTGATGGTCATAATTGCCCAGGAGATGAAACGCCACAAACAACAGGTGTTTGCACTGATGGTCATAATTGCCCAGGAGATGAAACACCACAAACAACAGGTGTCTGCACAGACGGCCATAATTGCCCAGGAGATGATCCACCTACACAAACAACAGGTGTCTGTACAGACGGACATAATTGCCCCGGAGATGATACACCTACTCAAACAACAGGTGTATGTACTGACGGACATAATTGCCCAGGAGATGATCCACCTACACAAACAACAGGTATCTGTACAGACGGGCATAATTGCCCCGGAGATGATCCACCTTCTCAAACAACAGGTGTATGTACTGACGGACATAATTGCCCTGGAGATGATACACCTACACAAACAACAGGTGTCTGTACAGACGGGCATAATTGCCCCGGAGATGATCCACCTACACAAACAACAGGTATCTGTACAGACGGACATAATTGCCCTGGAGATGATCCACCTGCACAAACAACAGGTGTATGTACAGACGGACATAATTGCCATGGAGATGATCCACCTGCACAAACAACAGGTGTATGTACTGATGGACATAATTGCCCTGGAGATGAAACGCCACAAACAGGTGTGTGTTCTGATGGACATAATTGCCCTGGAGATGATCCATCTACACAAACAACAGGTGTCTGTACAGACGGGCTTAATTGCCCCGGAGATGATCCACCGTCTCAAACAACAGGTGTATGTACTGATGGACATAATTGCCCTGGAGATGATCCACCAGTACAGACAACAAATGTTAGCATTGAAGGGCAAAATATTGCTGGAGGTGACACCACACCACAGATTCCAGCTACTGGGGCTGCTGTACAACCAGCTGCAGAAACACCTACAATCAGCCAGTCATCAATGGAAACGTCCGTCTCAATGAGCCAGGCTGCACTGGATGCATCAACTGTTAATGTACCAGAGCATTTACCAGCTGCACTGCTCCAGGAGTCAGACACAAAACCTGAAGCCATGGACACCTCAATCACAGAGGCATCCCCTATGCCACCTGCCCAGCTGTTACAGACAGCCCCTAGTGAGGAAAATAAGGAGGAGCCTATGGACACGCTGTCAAATGCAGCAGCCTTGTCTCTGCCAGCACCGACCCCTATCATTGACACCACCCCTCTGGGTGTCCTCTCCTCCGTGTCTCAGGGCAGTCCTGCCATCAGCACAGCAGCATCCTTGGCCACTGCTGCAGCAGCCAACACCCTCGCTGGCATGGATGCTCTCGCAGCTGTCGCCAACTCTGTGTCAGGTAAGTTTACATTTATCCAGTTTATTGAAATTTCAAAAACGAGAATTGAGCATCATTTGGGCCAATTTTTTTCAATTTGACAGAAGTTTCTTAAGCTTTCTATCAATCAAATGAAGTTCTTTGAAATTGTTTGTGGGAATTATTCTGTTGTTTATTTGAAGTTGCAATTCTCCAGGCTTTAGAAAAAGATTTGCTTTATACTTCTTTTTTTTTCAAAATGTTTTATTTTAATAATTTGCAAATTTTTATATACTTAGCATCTTTCTTATAACCAGCATACATTTTTTTACATATCGCTACATCATTCTTCATCTTATAACCAGCATACATTGTTTTACATATAGCTACATCATTCTCCATCTTATAATCAGCATATAATCATCAAAGATTTGCTTTATACTTGATGAAGTGTGTTCGGATCACAAACTGTTCTGATCATGGAAGCGCTGTTGACATATGTCACGGGAGTATTTGCTTATATTTACTGTACATGAAAAATCTCTGTTAGAGATATACTCAAAGAACGAACATAGAATTTCTACATCAGTAAGATGTTAAGGGTGTTCTTTGAAATTTGTAAGTTGAAAAAAATAAAAATGAAAAATTGTTTTAAAATACAATTCAAGTGAGAGTAGGGAAATAGTTACATATTTGTGAAATCCATTGGAATTACCGGATAACATATGGAAAACTAAACTTGTACACTACTGAATCATGTCACTGGTTATTTGTAATGCCTGTTAATCTTCCCTTCAGATCCTTTGGCTACTCTGGCCAGTGCAGCTATTTCCTCGGCCAGTACGGTAGCTCCCCAGGTCAAAGTGGAACCAGGTGTGATAGGTGTGAAGATTGAGTCGGATCTCAAACAGGTCAGTCACTCACAGATTTTACATTAACAGCTACTGTGTTCAAGGTAGCTGATGTACTGGAATGTTACACCTTATGTTGGGACAAGTAATATATAATAGTTAACAGTTAGTGGAAAATTGCCTGGAGTGTAGAGTCAGGTTTAGGGGAATGCAAAAGTAACAGCTCACTAAAATGTCCTAGTTCACAACAGTGGGATAGATCTTCTTTTCATTTATCAAAGTCTTCTCTTTTCCATCAAATACATGTGTAACAAATATGGTATGGTGGTATTACCATCCTGTCACAAACAGTTAGGGAATCCTACAGTATTCATTGTGAACATCGGAGAAATTTACTTTGACTGACCATAGATTGTGAGGGAAATTGTTGCTTTACTAGATTTGACTGTAAAGTCGGCGAATGTCATGTTGGAATTCTGATTTGCAGGAGAGTAAGGCAGAAATTCCAGCAGTTAAGATGCCGACCACGCCAGTTAAGAAGGACGCTCACCAATGGTATGATGTGGGCATCATTAAGGGCACTTCCTGTGTTGTGGCACATTATTATCTGTCCTCGGACAACGTGCAGGGCAACGGTGATGTCGTCAACACAAAGCAGGTACATATACTAGTTTGTTCTTTTTTTCAATTACTATATTTTACAATTCAAAACTCTTTTATGAGGTAGCATAATTAATAGCATTAAAGCTATTGCCAGATTATATTAAAACATAATATTGTTTTCATTATTTCTGAACAAAAATTGAATGTATGCAATCAAAATTCATTTTCTCAATAGTGAATGGACCATACTAAAAGTATGAAATTTTCAGGAGAGTCAAAGTAAGGTTATATCAATATAACACTTCATCAGGACAGCCAGTGTATAAATGAAAACTGCAAAAATGGGAACTCACTTTGTCTGGGCCGCATTTCATTTACTCTGTAACCTACATTTGTAAAACTTTGCATGTGATGGATGGGGATGGGGAGTGTTCTGTAATGAATTTGAGTCTCATGCCCCACTATATATGTAAAGAGAAAAAAACAGTTTTGTTCTTTACTTGTACCTATTTTGTATGGAGGAGGGGACAGCTAGGGATTGCTTGCAATGCTTAACCTTTTATTAATTAAAAGGGGAAAAACATTCTTTTCTGTAGGGAAGTCGTCGTAATGAAGAAAATCTATAAAAGTTCAAAAGAAAGAAAAAATAACATAAAGAAAAACCTGATTCTATCTGCTAATATTACGTTTTGTTTTTGTAGGATATTGATGTTGTAAGCATACCCGACCATAGTGTCCTCAAGAAACAAGAGTTACTTCCAGGCACTGCATATAAATTCCGTGTGGCCGGAATCAATGCCTGTGGCCGTGGAACTTTCAGCGAGATCTCTGCATTTAAGACCTGTCTCCCTGGATATCCTGGTGCCCCATCTGCCATCAAAATCAGCAAGGTGGGCTTAAAAGTGAGGAACGATTTAGAGTTATCCCCCTTCTACGGGACCATTCTACTAACAATTATCACGTGTACCCATTTTATACCTTCCACTGGGGTGTAAACACTCACTTTGTAGGCACATCGCAAATGACAAAACCAACAGAGTTGGTGTTATAATACACCATGCTACTTTATTTTCTACTGTTAATCAACAAATCTAGTATCATTAGCAATGTGCCTCAACTAGTGGAATTTTGCACCCCTGAACATCTGTAGCACTGCATTTCAAATAACCCCTTGTGACTGAAAAAGACAATAACTCTACTGTTGTCCGATAACTGTATAGCACTTATATCTATTTGCAGTCTGAAACAAATAATTTAACAATATTGATGCGATTTTGAATTTTAATGTTGTTGTGTGAAATTTAAACGCAGCATTTACTTCAGAAACAAAACCACAAAAGTTTTGTCCCCAAAGATTAAAGTGCTATACAGTATCAGTCATCTCTTTTCCTGCTTTAATAGTTAACATACTAGCCATTAGACCCTACCCATCAGAACAAGAACATTCCAAATGTTGAATGATCATCCTGGAAAAAAACTTCTTTCAAAAACAATGATATGAGGAGAAAATGATTGTTTTGTCTTGAGACTAAAAACCTGTTCTCAGGTGTCATATCATCTAAGTTTGTATCACACTTTACCCATTTTATTGCTTAATAGAACAAACAAAAATATTTAAAATGTACAAAAAACTGGAATTTCCCATTTTTTTTCGAAAAACACCCAATATGTGCTTAGTTATGCCAAATCATTCCTCTACCAATAATTCTGCCAATATGGAGCTTTTTTTATAGAAATGTCCTCTAGATAAAGAAATAGAAATTTCTAGGTTGAACAAAATACTTCCAAAACCGTGAATTTCAAGCGAAGACCATCAAATTTCCCACAAATGTTTGGAGGCTTAAACTTTTGCTAAGGTAGCCAAAGCGAAACTGACCAAAGCAAAAAAATGACTGTTTCATGGACATCAATAGCTCTCAAGCACACATGTTCATGGACATCAATAGCTCTCAAGCACACATGTTCATGGCAATCAATAGCTCTCAAGCACACAAACTGCAAAAGCTGTTGAGTGTATAGCTATTGTTCACAGGCAAAGCTATCAGCAAATGAAGCTAGGATCCTCCAAAGCTATATTATTAGCTCACCGGGTCCGAAAGACCAGAGCAAGCTTACCGTGGCGTCCGTCGTCCGCACTTCAAATGACTTCTTCTTCTTAACGACTGACTTCTTCTTTAGAACAAGGTCATGGATATCAATCATATTTTGTCAGAAGCATGGGAGGCGGGGATTCAAAATTGTACAAATGTTGGGGCTGACCCCTAAGGGGGCTGAGGTGTGGGGCCAAAAAGGGTTATTTGGCCATATTGCTTTAAGCGACCTCTTCTCTGGAACTAAGAGATGGATATCAACCATATTTGACTGGAAGCATCCCTAGGTAGGGGAGATTCAAAATTGTACAAATGGTGGGGCTGACCCCCCAGGGGGCCGAGTGGTGGGGCCAAAAGGGGCCAATTTGCCTATATTGCTATAAACTTCTTATGTATAACTATGCCATGGATATCAATCATATTTGGTCGGAAGCATTCATGGGAGGCAGGATTCAAAATTGTACAAACTGTGGGGCTGACCCCCAGGCTAAGGGGTGGGTCCCAAAATGTTTATTACTTGGAAATGGTTGAGATCCCCACCGTATAACCATATATACAATTGCTGAGTATAAAGAGAAGAATGCACATTTGCTTCCAGGATGGCCCTGGAGTCTGGCCCCATCCTTGGAGGCATAGTCCCTGGGTCATAACTTTGAAACGGTTGAGATCCCCACCCCAAAACTATATATACATTTGCTGGGCATAATGAGACGAATGCATTCATGATATTAGAATAGACCCTGGGGTCTGACCAAACCCCTATGGACCTAGTTTCTTAGTCAGAGCTTGGAAACAGTTGAGATCCCCACCCTATAACCATATATACAATTGCTGAGTATAAAGAGATGAATGCACATACGCTCCCGGGATGACCTTGGGGTCTGCCTCACCCTTGGAAACTTAACCCCCGGGTCATAACTTCCAAACGGTTAAGATCCCCATCCGAAAACTATATATACAATTGTTGGGCATAAAGAGACGAATGCAGTCATGATATAAGAATTGACCCCAGGATCTGGCTGCCCCACCCTTGCAGACTTAACCTGTGGGTCATAACTTTGAAATGGTTGAGATCCCCACCCCAAAACTATAAATACAAATGCTGGGCATAAAGAGACGAATGCAGTCATGATTTTAGAATTGATCCTGGGGTCTGGCCACAACCCTATGGACCTAGTTTCTGAGTCACAGCTTGGAAACAGTTAAGATCCCCGACCCATAACCATACATAAAATTGCTGGGCATGAAAAATCTAATAAAAATATACTACAAGGATTGGCCTTGGGGTCTGGCCTATTCCTTTGGATCTCATTTGGAGAATATTTTGCCATGTCTACTTGGCAATAGTTTAACTCACCAGAGAATGTAAAAACTTAGGTCCAGCCCCAGCTTGACAAATGCCTTGTTAGAAAAACCTAGTGTAACATGTAATTTGAAGTACCTAAGTTCAGTTCTGGAAGATTTAAAGCTGCTTGTTTTAACTTCAAGATAAAATAGCCGATAAGAAAAACAGGAAAGCTCATATCCTTATATTGTAGAGGCATCACAAAAAACTCCACAATGAACAATATTTTATATACAAAACACTGCACTTGCTTCATATACTGCTATACTTACCTTTACCTAAGAGGAATTTGGCCTAAATTTTTTGGTTAGCAGGAAAAAGATTTTGAATAAAAATATATTGTATTTAGAGTCAGTATATAAAGGACTAACATATTGCTAACACGTGTTATGAAAGATAAACATCACATAATAAAATGCAATTGTACTAAAGAAACAAAAGTAAATGGTCATGTCAATTTCATTACTAATATAAGCTGGGAAAAAAAAATTGGTTCTTTTTCTTATTGCAATTATGTATCTTTTATACCATTTATCAATATATTATGTAACATGTTCAACAGTCATAATAAGTTGAGACTAAATTTGTTACAGATTCTTAAAATCCATTCAGTAAGATTTCTTGTTTATTTGAAATCATTTTTATTGATGTTCCACTTCATGAGTTTTCTGTATTTATCTGGTGGTGGTTTCTGATTTTGTTAAGTACTATTTGTTGCATGTGGTGTTTCTCTTGTTTAATCAGAGTGCGGAAGGTGCACATCTATCATGGGAACCCCCACAGAACACCGCCGGCCGTATCACCGAGTATTCCGTGTATCTTGCCGTACGTAATGCCGCCTCCCAGGTAGACCAGAAGCCGGGTACTCCGGCCCAGCTGGCTTTTGTGCGGGTGTACTGTGGTCCTCTACCCACATGTACAGTGACAACTGCCAGTCTCGCCTCGGCGCACATTGACTACACAACCAAACCCGCCATCATCTTCCGAATTGCAGCCAGGAACGAGAAGGGTTATGGACCAGCCACACAAGTGAGGTGGCTACAAGGTGAGCAGTTGAGTTGCAGTAATGGAGACTGTACAATGGAGAAACAATGCTAACATTGAATTGTAACTGAAAATATTGTGTGCAAAATATTTCATCCAGGAAAATAATTTTCACTGTGAAAATAGATCTCATTGCTTTGAATCTTTCCAGTGGATTTTCTGATCCTTTGAATCTTTCCTGTGGATTTTCTGATCCTTTGAAGAGTCCAAAAAGTATTCAGTTCTTTATTTGAATTAGTGTAAGTCTCAAAATTTGCATAGAAATGAAATTTGAAATTTGTTTGAACAAACTCAAATAAAACTGTTGTCAAGTATGCAAAGTGTGTAAATTTTTGATGTTTTTCTTTTTTCTTATCATTATTTTCTCCCCTTTTTAAAGTAATTGACATAATTTGAGAATCTCTTCTTTTGATGAGATACATGTCTATCATAATTGTTTTTGTTTCATGATTACAGATGCCCAAAGTCCTGCGGGTACAAAGGTTGCCGTCAAACGAACACTTCCTGCAGCTACTGCCACAGCCGGAGATGCGTGAGTAATCTGCCCTTAGAGAAAAAGTCTAGAATCAGTTCCTACACGTAGCTATACAAAATATCTGGTTCTGATTTGAATGTAGTGAAAATCCATCTTATTTAGAAATATTCATTTTAAGTGTTTCCCTTCCTATATATTGATATCTGGGATTGATTTCTTACCATTAGCAGGATAAGAATTTATCATTTACGTTTTCTTTTTTATTAACCTGAAGGTGAAAATTAAGCTATGTCTTGTTTATTTTACAGAAGACAGCAGTTACAAGGCATTGGCCCCATCAAAAAAATAAAAACAGAAGAGGAAAACGAACGACAGGGATAGAGAGACCTCTCGTTGCTGTTATAATGGACATGTTTAAGTTGAAAATGGTTCATTTGTCAAAATCATTCATTTGTAAATACTTCATTCTTCGTTTCATCCATTTTGTACAAACACATATCGTTAGTCACTTTGCATTTACATTGTCTCCATCTTCATTAGAAATGTAGATGTCATATTTTCAATACTTAAATATTTTTGTCTCGTATACATATATCTAAATTACATGGTTCTCTGCAGATAGAATTTCACTTGTTTGTTAGGGTATTTGTAAAATTATTACTGAGCTATTGTTTGTTCCAGTCTATATTTTCCCACAAACACTAAAACTACCAATCAGTGTTCTGATTGGGGATCTGTAAGAAGACGAATTTTCAGAATCAAATTAAACCACCACAATTCATCACGACATAGGTATTACAAAGATTCTGTTTGTGACAATTACCAAAATATGGAGTGATCAGAATGAACACCTTTAGTGGATAAATAGCATTGAAGTTGAGGAAAATCACAAGCAATAATATGACACAGGAAGGGTTTTATGAAAACACAGTTTCCTGTTTAGATTTTCCATAAAAAAAGGGTTATGTCACAAACTGGACAGATTAACTTTGTTTTGTTGGATTGTCTCCAACATCTATCTGATTATATATTAAATTTCTCAGATTTTACATATTGTTTTGTTCTGTGCATATTGTATTGCTTTAACATTTGTCCATGATTGAAAAACCAACTGAACCCTAGGTAACTGAGCATAGATCTGACTGAGAATCCTCCCCTCCTTGTCGCTATTTAGTTAGATTACATCCCTAATCATTACCTGTACTTGTCATTTCTGTTTCATTTGTTGAAGTTCAGATGTTATACCTGGACTTTGCTCAATCTTGTTCATGGACTGCTGTTATAAGTACTTTCATTGTAAGCCACGTACCAGGTACATCGAATAAGAAAGTAGAACGATCAATTTTGCATGTCCCACTTACGGAAGAACTGTAGTACCAAAATGTTCATACTTTTAATGAGAGAACAATACACAGGTACAAATAGCACTGTTTAAAAACAAAATCTAGCTTTCAAGGGAAAAATTGATTTTTATTGACATGACTGTTTCCATCTTATAAAAGGATACCTGTATGTCTAACATGGTATTTAATCTGAGAATGGGATCTAATATAGCAATTTCTGTTGTACAGTAAATAATTTGACTTGCCTCTAAATTACCTGTATTATTTGTTGTTAAGGAATGCCTCATTTGTTTTTGTTGAAATAGTGTAAACGTGTTCAGGACGTTTGCATTATATACTTTTGTTGACCTTTTTTTTTTCCCCTGTTTATTTTTTAATGAGAGTAAAACGCAATTTTGTTATTTTGTACACACTTGTCATGATCAGAATGATTCAAGAAGTAATAGGAGGTCCCCTGAGTTGGATTGGTATGGTGCGTTAGGTTTATAGTGCTGTTATTACCAGCCCAGGAACACATTTTTGTAGGACTGGCTTTGTTAAGGTTTGATGGGAGGTGTTTAAAAGACGAAGAAAAAAATATTATGATATTATGTAGTTATTACACCAAAGTTCTCATTAAATCCAGATTTGCTTCGTGACATCACCCTCCGTACACTGTTAGGTTTCATGGCAGAAACAATGTGTACTTCTCTAACTTTGTAAGACACAACGGTTTTTATTCATCTCCTCCAGGTGTCACTTGTTACCATTCATAATCAATCATCTACTTACCTTTAGCATAATGTAAATAATCACTCGTGTAGTTTACATAAAACATGAACATCTTCCAGTACATATCATGAAATAGCAACCATAAGTTACGATTATTTCTATTTCCGATAATATAGGACTGAAGTTTTATAATATAGGACTGAAGGACTGAAGTTTTAAAAAATAGGACTGAAGGACTGAAGTTTTATAATATAGGACTGAAGTTTTATAATATAGGACTGAAGGACTGAAGTTTTATAATATAGGACCGAAGTTTTATAATATAGGACTGAAGTTTTATAATACAGTAGGACTGAAGTTTTATAATATAGGACTGAAGGACTGAAGTTTTATAATATAGGACTGAAGTTTTATAATACAGTAGGACTGAAGTTTTATAATATAGGACTGAAGGACTGAAGGACTGAAGGACTGAAGTTTTATAATACAGTAGGACTGAAGTTTTATAATATAGGACTGAAGTTTTCACATTTTTATTTCTATTTCCGATAATATAGTACTGAAAAAAGGCAATCTTTCTGAAACAATGAATATTTTGTACTAATGAAGTTAAAATTTGTTCCCAGTACAAAATCAGTGTTGGTATTTCTATCACCGAGTCCTAATGTTACACAATTTGATGATACAGTGTTGTTCTGTTACCAAGTCCTAGCAGGCTTAACACAAGTTCTCCAATTGAAGTCAGACCTCTGCTTTCTGACAAAGACAAACTTTTGCTCGTACATTTTAACTTTGGTCTGTTGAATCTGCCTTACTGCTATAGGTGTTAGGCTACAACCACATCAGTGGAAAGATTAGTGTTATATACAGTAGTCTAACTGGAGTAAGATTTTAACTGCAGTTCTAGTTATCAGATTAAAAATCATATATCTTAATACATTCCTTTCCCCACTGTAGACTAGAATGGACTCATCCATATCAATGCATGGTAGAGTCTACTAAAGTTACAAAGGGGTGAAAGGGTTAAAGGAGAGTACTAAAATCACTTGAAAATGCTCATTTGGCAGCTCTGAAGTTTTTTACACATTAAAACTTGACGAATATTGGGATATTAAATCACATTGAATATAAACTCATAACCTTTCTCAGAGTGGAAATAGACCTTACCGTCCCTTTTGTCTAGTGGGAAATATTTCCAGACTTCACACACAATTTGACAGTCTTGTATGACTTCAGGCATGATCAAGTTTTCCAAAGAAGTTTTAAGCAAGATTGACAAATATTTCTCAGTTTGGAAATATTAATGAAATACACACCTGTTCTGGTATTTATTTTTGACTGATGTCCCCATGAACTCGTATTTATTGCTAATTTGTGTTCTTTGTGTTCATATTTAAAAAAATGTTTTTTCAGCAATTTAATATTGAATATATTACATATGAAAACTTTCAAAAAGGATTACATTTTGTGGTAAAAACATGATACAGATAATCTGCAAGAGTGTTGACAGTTGGACGTTTTTTTAACTACCTTCTCTTTGTTCGGTGCAGCAAATAAAATAGTATTTTAAGTACAAAAAAAAAGACAAATATTTGTATCTATCACAGATCTATAGGAGTTGGAAACAAACCTCTGCTGTCAATTTCATTCAGTCTTTCTTTTTAATAGTGATGTAAAAAGTTTTGTTTCATTACAATATGTCATATTCATACAAATTATAACACTATACAATTTTTACTTGATAATTGTTTTAGTGAAGTTGTCCGCCATATTCAATGTGTATTTTGAAATAAATACTTTTATTAGATCATGAAAAATGAATATTGGTGTTTGGTTATATTTGTGTATATATATTCCAATCCTCCCTCATTTTGCTGTAAGCAGCACATACTGAAAATTTCAATCTCTAAAAACAGAAATAATATCAAATATTCGCATTTAATTACGTGGTAGCTGACATTTATATGCTATTGTCATTAATAAATTTGCTGTTTTAGAGACTAAAAGGGTTTTTTAGAATCGTTAAATTTGCATTACTATTTGTAAAACAATTGGTGTGTCGGTTTACTAAAATGCCAGTCGTTCCATCATTGACTGGATTGTAACCCCATACAACGAGGCCCAAGCTTGACTGGGATATGTCTGATAAAGAGTACATCACCCATAGGGGAAAGTTCAAGTTAACGTCTGATGTATGTACATGACTACCTCTTGAATGTTAGCATTTGGTTTTCTTTGCTGCCATCTTACTCTCAATATCTTTCCGAGACTGTTATTGGAAGGTGTTCAGTGTCTTTTCTTCTGCTCTTGTAATTTTCCAGGCTCACAGCCATACAGTAATACAAGTTTAACAAGCGACTTGACCAGATGTATCTTTGTTTTTCTACCAATATCTTGTGCTCCCCAGTTCTTGATCACTACTACCTACTCTGTCCATTACAGCACCAAGATATACAAATGTGTCAACATCTTCTATTATCTCATTGGTAAATATGACATTTTCATTCTTTCTTGCATTTTTTAGCATTAAGCTTTAGTCCAATTCTTGCTGCCTCGAGGTTAGTGTTTCTATCTTTTCAATTAGATGTTTGCTTCGATGACAAAAGAGCAACGTCGTCGGCAAAGTCCAGGTCTTCCAGGGAGGTGTTGAATTTCCACCGTATACCCCTCACGTTGTCTGCTGTTGTTCTCTTCATAATCCAGTCGATGGCCAAATCGGATGAATAAAAGTATCGAGATGTTTTCCAAGAGCAATCTGATGAGTTGTTTACAATTTGACGACCAGTAGACATGATTTTTTTTCTCAAATTTGAATTCACATGCATTATTGTTAATTCTATAATTTTTCAACAGAATTTCACATTTTTATGATATTGGTTTCCTTTTTGTAGCCTGCGCCGTAAGAAAACATTTGATCAATTTAACGAGAAACACCATTTGTGTTGCCACACCATTCTAAAAATATTAATTGAGAAATTGAGAACAATCGGAAAATCCTTTTTGGATACTTTTAGCATTACCATGCCGTAGATAGACCACGCATTATGTTTACATCGTTTGCTTCCTTCAATATGTTTAATGGCCCAGACTATCTTAAATTATTATTAAGATATATTCAAATCACAATGAATCGAAAACAAATGCTCATAAACGTTTTCCATATCTTTTATTAGTCATACAAAAAGGGTCCTGGTACATGGCAATAAAAATCTACAATGCAATACAAAATGTCAGATTAATGTTCATCACAATTATAAAACAATATTTTCAACAATTGAATGATACAGGCTATAGTCAAGAGAGTTCGGGTTTAGCTTATCATAATGTCATGGGTTGCTAAATAATAATAAATTATATTATTGCGATTTTATCCTCATTAATAAAATAACAATGATATGATCGGAAATTAAATAAATGAAGGAAGAATGCAAATCACATCACGCTACTTTGCTTTCTTTTTACGTTTTAGCTAGATTTTTTCTAAATATCCAATGTATGTGTGAGGGAGGGATGTAGTATTAAAGTTATATACTCTAGCTTAATAAACGGTGAACTAAACACTTTTATATAAATACTATCGACAGAACAGACTATTTTTTTTACGATCCTCTGACAAAAAACCCACACTGCTATGTACAATAAAGTAGGTATGGTGATATCAGTCTCGTAATATAATTCCGGCGATATGACAGATCACTGTTTTAGTTACAAATACCAGGGACAGTATATAGAGGGGATTGGCAACTCTGCCCCAGTCAAGATTCTATAGCACGTCGCTTTTGTGTTTGTTCACCGAACCGCGAAGTCATCGAGGGCCAATTGCAACTTCTCGGCCAATTCCGGCTAGGCGCGGAATCATACCGCGCCTAGCCGGAATTGGCCGAGAAGTTGCGATTGCATCGAGGGCCCCTCTCGATCAGCCCGCGCTTGCGCACTAGCGTTAAAATCTTGTCACCAATCTCGCCGAGATGGGAGTGTTTTGATAACGGTTAGCCCTGATTGGGACTGTGTATTAGTAGGTCTTCTTTTTATTCCAGGGATAGGGCTATCATTGCCACTATGTCTAGCCTTTCGGCTGCGTTGGTGGCTATTACAACAAATCACATTTCGTAAAGCACGTTCCAGTGAAAATAATGCTAATATTGACACTTTTTGACACAAAAACAGCACAAGTTATTTGTTATTTTTGCCATAAAAATCAGAACTACATATCAAAAAAATTATTCAACTTTCTATCGCCGTAAATTTCAAAATGAAGTATTTTTGAAATGAGCTGATCCCCGACTGCAGGCGATACTTTTTTTGTTGGGTTTAACATTTACGTTTTTTAACAACACGTGTCCTTCGCTACCAGACGAGTAATTTCATCTGTGACATCGCTATCGTTCCAAATAATGCAAATCAAATCAGGCCTACTTAACACAGAAATAACTCGGCTGTTTATTGATATTAATTGTTTTAAAAAAAATAAACGATAGTTTATAAAATTAATCAAAACAGTGAGCAGTCACCAACTACTTTCGCAATAATGATTTACGTTCCAGTGAAAAATAATGCTGATATTTAGTCTTTTTGACACAAAAATAACACAAGTTAAATTATATCATTTGCAATTAAAATAGGTTGGGTCGTTATAAAAAATATTCAGCTTTCTATTGCTGCTAATTTAAAAAAGATCGGTCAAATACTTTTGGAGTGAGGTGGTTCACATACATGTGGGGTTTTTTTATCCCGCATTTTTGTCTATCGACGCCCACCACAATACTCTGAACCACGCGTTACATCGCGTTTAAAAATAGAAAAATATACCCCAAAAACGAGACATCAATTGATATGATACCACAGATTTTATCAATTATAAGTAATACAATCAGCTCATAACAATGGGATAAACAAAAGAGGTAAGAACACTTATCGCGATTGGTTTGTTTTCACGCCAACTTCTGTAATCTAACGAAGCGGTATCGACGCCATCTTGGTTTGTCAAAATTGAGATAGGTGGCGCTCGCTATCTGCTCCTGAATCAGGGGGAGGTAAGTCTAGATTGACGTGTCATAAAAATTGGTAAGGCAAAGATGGAGTTGCTAATCCCCTTCACTATACGTCCCTGCAAAAACGCACTTCATCAAAAACCACGACTGACTAATACTGTCAGATATTGCATCATAAAAGGTTTCACGAGACAATAATACACAAATATACATATTAATCGAGGCTTTTCAGATATTCGTCCTAGATTTCAACAGACAGAACATTTTCAGAAACTTATCTGGTATATCATCGTAGAAAAGAAACGTGGAAATCTGACATACACGAGTTTGATATCATGTAAATTATAAGTAAATTTTCTATATAAAAATATTATTCTGTGCCAAACCACTAAGCAATACAGAGAAAAATGTGATTACAGCGATTTTTAATGTAAAAGTTCTGAGACCCAGAGTTTTTGTGTTTTGAAGATGTCCAAACAAGCCTAAAACCCTTTGGCGTGAACGTTGATTGTTTTTATGAACATTGCTTTAAAAACCCACGAGTAAAATGCTTTTGTAAAAAGGAACAAACTGAAATATTACAATAAAACCTTCAAACAAATAACATGAACAACAATCTATGTTCTAGAAAGGAAAACTATTTGGCACAGAAGTAGCTGTATATCTCACGGAATGTTTCACAATTCCTACAAAACGCACTCTCTTTATAACTCAAATACTTAAATATTCACGACTGAAAATCTGACGAAAGGAATACAAAACGCACACTCTTTATAACTCAAATATGTTCACGACTGAAAAACTGACGAAAGGAATACAAAACGAATTCTCTTTATAACTCAAACACTTAGATGGTCACGACTGAAAATCTGACGAAAGGAATACAAAACGCACTCTCTTTATAACTCAAATACTTTAAAAATGTTCACGAATGAAAATCTGACGAAAGGAATATGAACACCGAACCTATGAAACTATTTTACAACGAAATGCAGAAAAAATATGTCTTAAAATAGTTTAAAAAAATGCATAATAGGCTACGAACATACATTTTAATGATTTAAGACTTAAGGTAATACTCCATCTTTCACTGATCGGAGTGAAACAAACGTCGATTAAGATAATAGGCTACGAGCATACATTTTAATGATTTAAGCCTTAAGAAGACCATGTTTAACTCCATGTTTCCCTGATCGGAGAAAAAAAAAGCAGTCACCAAAGACAAGATCACTAATATAATCGTTTCCATATTAAAAATTAAAACCTGGCGAGAAGACTTAATACTGATCAAGCAAAAAAGTTTCACTCATCCGTGCTAAATGAGTATAAAACATATCATTGCATATAAATAAATGTTATTCAGGACATTATCACATAGCATATCTATCAAAATAAGCGAAATTTGAAATAAGACGAAAACTCACACGGATATTGAAAAAGTAACCCAGAACCGATTGATTTCCTTGTTGATGATTATACAAGCTGTCTTCTAGCTAAAGCTGGAAAAAATGTGTACAGCGACGTATTTATATTGTACTCGTAACATCCTCAATCTTTGTAACACACATCTAGTACACGTTAATATAACATATACATGTCTACTGCATTTAGGAAAACGTTTTTACATGTACAACTAATTTCAAAGATATCATAAAAAAATCTGTAATTGGTATCAATAGTTAGTGATTTAATAACACAACCAATGGTATAGTCTATAAACTCAGATATAGGATAAAGAAATATGAACGTGATTTTCCCCAGGACCTTAGTCTACCCTATAGTCATGTACATAATCGTTTTTTTTTTATCAATTTAAAACAAATTTTATGCGTACATAATAACAATTTAAAGGGGAAAAAAAACCTCCCGGGAAACACTGAAGAATAAAAACTAAATATATACATATTATTGCATGGTTATTTAGTAGCAGTCATGCTAAATGAGTGTAGTGGTGTATAAGTATGTAAAGTGGAGTCTCGATAACACCTTTACAAAGAGTGGTTGGAGTCTGCTGAAATGCTGGAATGCTTATGTAGAAAAAAAGCCAACAAGTCCCACAAAGACACAACCCGCAGGGTGGGACAACCGGGTAAGTGGTGACTGAATAGTGTGACAACCGGATAAGTGGTTGTTGAGTAAAGGGACAACTGGATTAATGGTTGCTAAAAAGTAGGACAACCGGATTTCTCTTGACTTGACAATGTGAAATAAATGTTAAGTGGTGACTGGGTGATGACAAAAAGAGAAATTAATTGTGGCTGTATTCCCGAGACTCGACTGTAGATAGCATTAGAAGAGAGCATTCTTATTGTTAGCCAATGGACTCAAACAGGCATGGCGACTACTCGACTGCTAATCTCTACCAAGAGTTGTCGTTCCTTGCACTCACTACCACATCTGTCAACGGCTTAAAAGTAGTCTGCATTATAATTAGTCTCTCAAATCGATTTTCAAGACTTTGCCAGGATTCTTGGCATTTAGCCGTTGACAGTGGTGTTAGTTAGTGTAAGGAAGGACAACTCTGGGTAGAGATTGCAACAATGCTACACGAACAGTTCAGTTTATAACATATTTTTTTAATAAAATACCATTGCCTCTCTGATGATACAATTTCCCCGATAGCTAAACAAATGTACCACTTTGCGTCAACTGATCTCCATTGCTAATGTAATGTACACATGTGGTATCATTAAACCTGCAGCATTGTACGTATTCAGTGTACTCTTAAAGAAATAATGAGACAAAAACTTAAGATAATTCGAATTCGAAAATATGTTGTTTTTAACACATATATAACAAACAAATTCAATCTAGAAACACCGGCTTTTTAAAGCGGACCCTTATCAATTCGACACCGACATTTTTTTCATTTATAAGGATATTCCGTTTTATTGGTACTATAACAAAGCCTTCGGAGGAAAGAGTTGTCATCAAAAGCTTGAAACAATATTGCTCATCAATAGCTAGGGATTGCACTGTATTGAAATAATGACATGCATCTTTTTCTGTTATATTTGTGTCACCATTTTCGCGAAAAAAACTTTCTAGTATACTACCTTACTAGGGCACGCATATTCAATACGAACGTGCACCGCATTAAGAAACACGTATATAACCTTATAAATGGTAAAATTTCTTTGACAAATTAATTTGCCTTTTTAAATAATTTGCATGCATTGATAACGATAATGTTAAAATTGCTATAATTGAAATTCAAAAGACGCGAACGCAAAAAATGGGTATGATGTCTAATTAGCTAGCAATGTATAGCGTTAACCCAAACAATCACATTTCAACATTATCGAATCAAAGACTGTGCAAGTCCAGTAAAAAACTGAACTGTAGCGTGAATGAGTTAAATAAATACTGATCTGTCATATTTTCCAATTTACTCATCGTTTTAGTTCTGGAACGTTGCTGTTAGAGCTACGTGTAATCAGTATGCTTTTAAGAATTTCCACGTATTCTAATGGTGTCCGAAATGACTAAAATGCCCAGTATATCCATAGGATCGGTTCCAGAAAATGTTTGTCCTAAGCCGAACCTCGTTGGCAAACAAACATCCCATTTAACACAATGTGATATCTGTACATATTTTGCAAGAAAGTCTAGATTAGAAGGTAGCACAACACTAAAATACCGGTGTTGTTTTCAATCGCAAAAAGATGAATGAATTCAAAATCAAATGTTACATGAATTTTCGCTTCGTATAATAGGCCAGATGTCCAATTTAGTCTATCAATGTCATTCTTACCCTATGTTATTAGCTATTCTCTGAAAAACATATCCAGATATTTATTTGTTGGGTCTTGACATGCGTGCAGATTTCTGTACAGCGTTTCCGCCGATGAAGAGTGTCTTTGACTGCCGCTCTCGCTCGGTAAGCGCCTGGACGACCTTGTACAGTTCGTCGAGCCTTTCGTTCTGCTTCTTCAGTGCCTCTTGGTAAGCCTTGTCGTCCTTATTGGCGCGCTCCTGTTGCTGCATAAGTAGACGTTCTATCTCTCGCGACAAGGAGTCCACTCTCATCTTCAGATCCATCTTTTCCCGCTCTGCTCTTTCCAGCTCGATAATGAGGTCCTCCTTCTCAGCAACCATTTGGTTAATTCGGTGTTGATCTGTAAGTTCATTGTCTTTCATAGCACGATTGTCCGACTCCAATTCATCCACACGTTCTCTCAGGTTGATAATCTCTATGTTGGACATTTCGAGCTCGCTCCTCAGCTGTGTGTTTTCTTTGTTGGTTGTAGATAGCTTGGACCATCTCTCGTTCTCCTTGTCCCTCATCTGTGCATGAGTTTGTTGCAACTGATCGTACTTTTGCTTTAGTTGGTTGTAAGCGTCCGAAGAGTTCCGGAGCTGTTCTACGCTGTCTTGTAAGGAGAATAGCGCCTTTTCGTTCCTGTCAATCAGTGACGTCTTTTGGTCCTCCCAATCACCACGGAAAGCATTTAATTTTTCATCCATTTTTCTTTCGATTTCTTGAGAAATTTTTCTCTCCATAGACAATTCAATTTCCATTCTCTCTTCATGGCGACGTCTTTCAAATCCATCAAGAAGATCATTGGTCACCTTGCCGCTGAATTCAGCAAACATTTGACCAATGGCTGTGGTCATCCGATCCATAGTCATCTGGTTGACCCTATCAGAGGCTGGACTTGCGCCACTTGCACCGCTTGCGAATCCGCTGTCGTTGCGCCCACCTGACGCTCCAACAACTGCGTGCTGAGGATGGTGCTGCTGTGGGAGTTGATGATGTTCTGCTGAATGCGGCCCCAATATCTGTGTCTGCGAAAGAACAGCTGATATGTTATAATGAATTGGTATAAACTTTATAATACCAGAATGGTATCAAATTATCATGTACGTTTAGTAGACTAAGTATTTGATATTTTTTTCTTCTTAAATTAATGGTAATCATTTCCTTTATTCAGCTCTCGATAAAGATTTCTGTCACATCTTATTGTTGTATAAGAATACTCAATATCAACCCAAATGAATTTCATTCGGAAGGGGATCTATGCTCCCTCTAGTAAATTGGAAATTCGTGGTTTGAATAAAATACAATGGAATGTAAACACAGATGCCTGTAAAAAGTATACTACTCGTCCGGGTCGCCTTCAAGGAATAAATGGGACTAAATAGAAAGTCTAACTCGAGCCAATGAAACGAAGAAAGTAGGTCACAGTGACCTACATCTGGTATTCTAGTATAGTATTCCTAAAAAATATCCATATATGAAGTTTGATGAATGACGAACTTCAAACATTAGAATAATGAGCTGCAAATAGTCTAACAAAGAAGTCGTACCGTCTGACGGATGGACCAACGGAATATGCAAACACTTAATATGACCTCCACTCTGTTTCGGGGTCAAACAAACTACTTTTCTGGTGTCTGTTTTGCCGTAGACAACATACATGACTCAATTCATAGTGCGAAATAAAACAATGGATAAGATATCTGGTACTGTAGCATATATCACAGAAAACATTTGGACAAACAAACTGGTGTTGACGCCTATGTTACTGACCACGGATGCCTCTGATGACATATGGTAGACTCCCGTAGTAGCATGGACAGTGTGCTCCTTCCGAGGCTGCATGCTTGTCTGTGGACGGAGTTGTTGAGCTAGTGCACTCTCCCTCACCATTGACGACGACGCTCTAGCATTTGGACGACCTAGAGAATGGAGAATATTTGTAAGTATACCAGAGCATTCATTATTCTTTTCCGATTAAATGATGAATGCCTATTTAAATGCTTCATTATCATGGTGTCTTTTAGTTTTTTTCTCTCGAAAAAATGCCACTCATATGCAATGAAGGTAGTTGGGATAGATGTCTGAAATTATGCTTATGATTCTTGAAAAATGTACAAACAAACGCGCTGATTGTTTAAAAAAATATTCCTGCATGGATGGAAGAGCCTTGATATTGACAAGTTTGTACCAGTTAAAGGATAATTTACATGTACTACACGTGTTTGTTCGCAAGGCGTTTTGCTTAGATGCTTTACTAATCGAAGAGGACAATGGTACACTGCGATTCAAAAAGTAAACCAGATATGAATATTTACATGGTTTCCTATACATATCCCTTTTAAATAGGAAATTTTATCATTTTATGTTTGGATTTATTATCACATCTTTATTTCTAGAATCTACATGCTTCATATTCCTTAATTACACATTAGACATACCATGCAAAACACCATTAAAAGAACATTTCACAAAAATGCTTCGACCACACACGGTGTAATTTATGCGAACAGAATTACGTGAACATGTTTCTTTCCTTTCAGCATGTGATAACACATAGAAGTCGCATGCCCTGGTACAATTAAGAAAATACATTGAGAAAAACTGATAACTGTTACAATGTATCTCTAAAAATACCACAAATCATGGGAAACATTATTTAAGACTCTAGCAGTGTACAATTGAGACAAATGCATTGTATTTGATCCGCATTTAATTCATAACGGTTTACCATATGGGAATTTAATCTACTCCAAGCAACTTTCTCGTGGATTTTATTATCTGTAATTTCAATTATCATAGAAATGAAATTCATTATGATAAGTACTGTTATGAATATATACAATGCACGTTAATTATTTTTATATTGTAAAACTCCAATTCCGTTTATTCAATTATGGCACGCGACATATTGATACTATTAAAGTCTGTGACATGTTGGCAAATTTCCGAACGCACCTATTATCAGTCACTGTCAGACACGCATATAAAACAACCTCAGAAAATGAATAAAATAATTTAGGAACTACAATTGATATCAGTCCTGACTGATTTTCTATTGCACTACAGATAAGATCAAGTTTGGTTTGCGTCCAAATGTTTAATTATTACTTGTATGTAATTGATTCTGATCTCCACTGATACGTCATCAGTTGACCATTGTGTAGTACACAATGTATTTGAATTCCAGAGGAGAGGTAGACAGTGATAAAAGTGATTTATTCCTTTAACCTCTTTATTTGCCTTAATTTAATAGACCTTACAAGCTTTCTAAGTTGTATCGATTTTACGTATAAAAATATTCATTTGTTTATGCAATATTTCTGATAAATATTTTCAAACGCTTTAAATCTCTTACTGAAATGCATAACGTTTTTATGAATTTCCAAAAAATCATTAAAACTATAAGTATGTTGTGAAAATCATGCAACATGCTGTTATCTAGTCTGAAGAACAACATATTCAAACTGATAAAGTGAGATTAAAAACGATTGATATACTATTTTCATTGAGATAGAAGAGATGAAAGTATACATATATATATCAAACCAATAGTTTTTTAGTCGTTCGTTAATCTTATTTTTTCTATATATATATAGATATATATTGTGCGTTCTTAATTTAAGTAAAAATATGGTTATATAATACTTGAAGACTAGATATAAGTGTAATCATAACTCATAATATTTTTTCCATATAATTTATTCCTCCTGAATATTGATATATTTCGTATAGTGAAATGTGCAAAGGGGATATTTAATGTATAATCATTTATTATTATGAAAAGTTCTTTTTACACAACCAATACGATTTTCTATGTGACGTTTCGATGACTAGAACGATATGTGCACTGTCACCTTCATCAGACAAATGACCAGTGAAGCGTATGCACACAAGGGTGTAAAATGTGAACGAGTTGTCCACAAAATCGATGTCGATTCGGCTACGCTGTAAGCGTATGTACAATAGTAGTACCAAATGACTCGATTCAGCTACGCTTTGTTTACAAAATCGGATGCAAAAACTGCGACGCATCGTATATTGGAGAGAATGAAAGGCGATTTGGGGTCCGCCATGATGAACACCGGAAAGATATGGAAACCCAATTAAGAAGGTAGGAAATTCACCTAATCAGAATGGAAGCAGTCGGAGTCCCAGATAATTAAATCGGCAATCACAGACCATGCCTTCTGAAAAATCATGTGATTGACTGGGATAAAGGAAGCCATCTGGATACGCCGCAGTGGATCAGTTCTAAATCGAGATGAGGGGGCTCAAAGACTCTCGTACATCTATGACCAAGTATTAAATAAAGCGTAGCTGAATCGAGTCATTTCGGTACGTATATAACAACTAATGTAATACGCTTACAGCTAAGCCGAATTGAAATCGGTTTTGTGGACAACTCGTTCACATTTTACACCTTTGTGTACATACGCTTCACTGGTCTTTTGTCTGATAAAGGTGACAGTGTACATATCGTACTAGTCATCGAAACGTCACATAGAAAATCGTATTGGTTGTGTAAAAAGAACTTTTCATAATCCACACTTACCAACCTGAAGAAAATGTTTAGAAATATGTATAATCATTTGTTTTGGTGGTCTGTGGCAAACAGGGAAAAACCAGAACAAAGCAAAAGACAAAAATAGTGGAATCACTAGCAAACATGAATATGGAGTTAAACGATAAAAGTGACACTGGAATAAAAGAGAAAATAGAAGAAACTGAATAAAGTTAAGTAGAGGTTGACAGTGACAACACCGGAGTGATCGTCGAGCGTTGAAACGGAATCTTTAAAGCATCCATGTATATAAAAGAAATCAAACAGATAGGTCCCCTATATAAAGGGTGTCTAAGCGAGTATGATTTTTATTAAGTAAAGGAAGAATACGTAATGAATAGTATAAAAATACAAAAGCCATGCAACATGCAGTGATGCGGTCACCTCTACGGAAAATCAGAAACTGCAATTCTTAAATTGATTAAAATATTTTTACCTGGGAAACCTGTTTTTTGGAATAATAAAATTACGAAAGGGTTAAATATAACTGAATATTTCCAAGCAGGTCCAGTTAGAATTAGGAACGGTGCATGCGATACACTTTAACTGTACATTGATGAAGATATAAGAATGTGAACCTTGGTAGGTAACGTTCAATATTAGGGAATTGAGTGAGGAAGATTATTAAAGTACATTTTTATTATGATATTCCTTATAATCACATGCTATGTACTAATAGTATAATAAGTAAATGGAATTTTATATCACGTATACCATTACCGGCCCAATATCCGGGATGAGCTAAAATTGACAAAGACAAAACATCAACATATTTTGTTATATTATTATCATATTTGTTAATATCTTTGACATATATTTCAGGTAGTGTATGCATAGTTAAATTTAATATACACATACATAGTATATACCTAATAACAGTAACCTAATTCGCATTAAAAATTACCGATACCCAATCATTTATTGCAATACTTTCCCATTATTAATATGTAACTGCTTGATAAAACTATTTGTTCTATCTTATTTAAAGATTGTGTGAGGGGAAAAACACATGTACACGTGAACGCGCGAACATAGATACAGTTGTATACAAAAACAGCATGTTCTCAGTCCCCTACCGGTAGTCATGATCAAGCCTACCATTCAATTTAGAAATTGCTACGTATAAATACATGAGTATATTCGTTCAAGGTATTGCATCGCTATATAATATTTTGATCACAATTTTATCTTTTTTTTTTGTATTTAATGACTGCAATAATTGATACACATGCAATATTAACATGCTTTGTGACAGCAAATATCCTGGTATTTTTATATACTTATAATATTGTGTATTACGTATTGTTATCCTTCTTGTGATAGTGGGCCAAATATGCAAAAACTTCAGAGAAATAAAAAATCTTGAGACTAGTTAAAGGGAACCTAAGAATAACGAACCATTTGAAGTTTTCGTATTCACACGCATCAAGCCCCGTCTAATATCAACTCAGTTTTCAGTTTGTATTGCTACTTTTGCTATTTACACATTACATGACTGCAGTAAAGACAAACTAGGATGAATATTTTGGTTTCAATAATTATGAATTAGGATCAGTTCACGAATGAAAACCATATTCAGACGAGATTCAAGTATTGAGAACTTGAGAGCATTCATCGATTATAATATAAACTGCTGAATAAAGGTTCCAAGCCAAATTCAACAATAGAGGGACATATTAGCTAGGTTCAACTACATCTGTATAAAACCAGTGCGCGATGTCTTAAATGTCCGGGCCTTGTGATGTTCAGTTACAAAAGTGTATGTGAATATGACTGGAGATATCGTCTGTCTGTGATGGTATTGTACTCTTTATGACCTGGCCTGAACCAATGGAATTACATTTAAGGAATACCATATTATTATAAAACTTCTGTATAAAATGGTTTTTAATATTTTAAATGAAACAAAACCAAGCTTAACAAAACTACTATATGTGCGTCTCTCAATATTAAATAAGGATGTTGTAATTATATTAACATCAAAATCTTGAATATCTTTACAATAACAAAAAATACAAATAAATAATCAACCCTTGTAGTATAGTTACATGGCAAAAATACACAAATGGTAAACCAAAGTATCAAAATCTTGAATGTCTAAATGACAGAATTTTTAAACATTTATATTTAAGATGACGGCAATGTTGTAAGGAAACTGTTTGCTAAAATGTTCCATCAGAAGATAAGTACAAAATGTTAGATATATATAAGTCTGAAAAACAAAGCATGTATTATACACAACCTGTAAGATAATGCCCCTTTTTATCGATAACATGACAATCTACAAATCAAAAGTTAAACACGATATACTCACCATCCTTGCAGAGTTTTTCCACGATATTGAAGAATCGTTCTTCCTCCAGACTCTGTATGAAGGAGGTGAACGCGTGAGGCTCGGATGAGGCGAGCAATAACTGGATAAACTCGTTGAACTTCTTGTGAGGAGTTGGCGGGTTCACCTTATCGATTCTCTCACGTTCATCATACGTAAAGACATTCCTGTCCACCAAGTGGTCAAGGATGGGGTCAAGATACCCTAACCTCTCTTTCAGGAAGGTTATATTTGACGTGATCCTCTTCTTCTGCTCTTTATCCATATTTGTTCAAGCAAACACTTTGTCCAGAGTTATTTGTGTTTAGAACCTGCTCGTTATATATTTAACTAGACCTGATTTAACTACGTAATAGACAATCCTAACTACAGGTACATACACTCCGTCAGGTGGATATCAAATGTCTCACCTAGGTAATGACTTTGAACAGGTAAATACCTACCTGTACGTGTAAGCAGTACCCGTTACCTTAGTCTATGAAAACCTATAACAAATATTAAAACAATAGCATTCACAAATTTTCTGCTGGGGAATATTTCCATAGAACTTTATCAATGGCTGATCAGGACCGGTGATTCGAAGATGTGGGTTAGAAATAATACACAACAAAGTGTAATTGTTTACCGATCATAACCTTTAAAGGTAATATACATATGTACATGTCACGTTGGATCTTCGCCTAACTCAGTGTGTCGTCTTACAAATAACACACTGAAAGCTTACAGTAGACGTGAACAATAGATTAAATGGAAGATTTAATCATGATTGTACTATGTAACTTTGTATAGTGTGCCAATAAGAAAAATGACCGACACCCTTTGAAATAAAGGAACCCATTCCCTTTGTTTCGATGGAATTTTAGTTGTAGCGCTTCCTTTAGATAAATAACAACACCGTACAATATCCGACATGATTTTATGACCACCAAAAGACTTCATTACTGTCTTCAACTTTGGCTTTACTGAAACAAAAATCACAGTCTCAAACTTCCTTATCGTCAAGTTTCATTTTGTTTATATCGGTCCCATACGAGTTTATGAATACCTCTGTAGTCTTTAAATGTAATTTAAGTATCTTTGGTTTGGAAAAGTATCAAATATACAGTTTTCACCATGTGTCACAATCGCTTAAAAATGTCCAAATCTTACGTTAAGAACTAATATATGATAAGAAAAAATCTCTATTTCAATCTATTCTGACGAAACCTGTTTTAAAGAACCTTCTTAGTATTTTATAGTGTATTACTGTCCTGTTTAGTAAGACAATTAGTTTAGATTATGTATACGAAGCTGTCGAGGACACCTACCTAATATTTCCTTTTCAGCTAGTTATCAACCTTCAGATACTGTACAACAGGGCTTAAAATACGATCGAGTGAGCGCTGAAAGGTGGGACAAAAAAGTAGAATCATTTTAGGATTCGAATTAAATGAAGAAATCATTTCAACTAAAATTAGTCAAAGTATTTTATGTAAAATTAGTCAAAAGAACATATTTTAACATAATTGATACAATTAAACTATTTGACGAGATTAGAGTATATCGGGAAATTTTCTCCGCATTTTAACTTTCGCCCTCCGAAATATTGTTGAATCGGTCATGACACCTAATACTAGTCTATAACGAATCGGTCATGACACCTAATACTAGTCTACAGCGAATCGGTCATGACACCTAATACTAGTCTACAACGAATCGGTCATGACACCTAATACTAGTATACAACGAATCGGTCATGACACCTAATACTAGTATACTAGTATAGTAAGTATTAGGTGTGTCGACCGGGATTTTACCGGTTAGGGGAGAATGATTTGACTCGGCGACAGTTTTCCAGTCTACAGTATCCTATGTTAACTTAAGTAGTTTGGTGGTCGGGTGGCGCAGTGGATAGCGCACTTGCCTTTCACCAATGCGGCTGAGGTTCGATCCCCAAAACGAACGTGTAAAGATATGGGGGTCACCTGACATCCGGGCCTACAAGAGCGATCGATATAAGCTTTCCAGCATATTTAAATGTGTGTTTAACAGAAAAACACATTAGCATTGTGATGTGAATGATTGAAGAGTTCAAATATATGAAAATTAGGGCATATGTCTACTTATCTTAATTATTGTAATTTATTGATATCTGTTACAGCATTTTAATGTCATTCAATACAAAAACTATTTTAATTGACCTAGTTCAAACCATTGTATAATAGGTATCTATATTAATACCATAAAGTACATGAATATTATAACAAACTACAATGGCAGTTATCACTGAGAATAATCTTCTCCGGGAGTCTGGTTAGCTTAACAGTAAAAATGCAAATTTCAACAAAGAACATACATTTTAAAACATTGAAAGATGCAAATGGATAATGTCAAGTCAACAACGAGAAAAAGGCGTATAAACTATTTTCGACATATCTGATTAGTGAAGAGAATTAAAACTTAGGTCGCAGTTCGTAAAGAAAATCAACTTTTGAAACAGGTGTACAGAGTCGTATTAGGTGCGTTAATTTGATATTGTCAGTGTAATTTAAAAATTCCTTTTCATTGAACTATGAACACCTAAATACATTCATCTTATATAATAATGTATGCTGAAGATTGCAATGAAGATAGGTAATTCATTATTATTTCAAATAAACAATGGTGGACTCGGATGTTTAAAGCTTTCTTATTATAACTCTTACAATTAAGGTAAAGCATGATGGACTCAGCTGTGTAAGGCATTGTTAGCTTACACTCACATTAAGGTAAAGCATGATGGACTCAGCTGTGTAAGGCATTGTTAGCTTACACTCACATTAAGGTAAAGCTCGGAAAATCAGCTATGTAAAGCTTTGTCAGTTTATATAGGTAAAATGTGATTCTGTGTTATTTTCACAACTATGATAATTGAAAACAATACAAAAACGTCCCTGGAATCATTTTCTGATTACATACACAAAAATGTTCAAAAATTCATTTGTGAAATTTATGGCATCAAGGGATCGTAGAATTTAGGGCTTTAATTAATCATTAGCAGTATATAATTAGCACTGAAACAATATCCTGTTGATCTGAATTAAGTGTGAGATTTATCAGATACGATTGTTTTTGACGACAAATGTCTACCAAGCTGTTATCAAGATAAAATAGAAGTATATATGTACTATATTAATTGTGCAGCCCCAAATAGCCCGTCCTTGTCAAAAGAGTAATACAAACAACATTTAACATCAATATAGACTAGCATGGAGAGATTCTCCGTCAACATGTTGTTTATATATTTGACCTCCATTAAAATGAAGGTGTTTACGTATCCTCCAGGGAAATAACAACACTATACATCAGTTTATCTCAAGTTATTTCCGATATAGCATGTAATACATCAACATTATCTATTGCCGTTATCTAATAATTCCTACTAGTAATCAAAAGGCTAGGGTCACATCCCTTGTCATTAAAAGTCTAACTTCTGAAGGATATTAACAATACTAAGATTTCTTAGAGTAAAAGTTTACGTTGAACAAGCGATATTGGTTTCACATCATTCAGCCGATATATCGCGTATCAGACTGTTTGTTGCTGTCTGTAAACTGAACACTACAGTTGTTTGATTGGATCGAAAAGTGGGGTCACTGTTCACCTTATATTGTTTATGTGATTTCCTATTGTTGACGTTGAGTTTGCATGAAAACGTCGCGAGACCTGACTTGTAACTCCGGAATTTGTTGTTACTTGAATTTTATTTTGAACAAGGTTACCGCGAGCGGTATATAATACGCCCGTCACACATTGAATGAGCAGTTGTTTGTATGATTGAAATATATGAAGTATTTGTGAGTAATTGATATTAAAAGAGAAATCATTCAACATAACTGGTAGATCAATGAGTGCAATACAACATCATGGAACGCATGCATCGCATTAATGAAACCAAGGGTAATAACTCCA